TAATAATTTTAATAGCAATATTATATTTATATCATAATTTTTTAGACGACAGACGGAGGCTCAGAACTGTCTTTCCTTTGCAATGATTTATATTTTAATATTAAATTCAAATTTAATACATCTATTGCAGTGACCTACTCAATGACGAGTTACACTGTTATACTGTACGAGAAACCGATTACTTTTCCCCTTTTTACGTATCCATGACATTCGAGTGTCGACTTGTATTACTTGTATTATACTTGTATTACCTTTGTTGTTTTAGATTGTGTACAACTGTTGTTGACAAGCAGAAGTATATAATAACTGTATCGCAAATTTGAAAATGTATACATGAATACGATAACATGAAAACTAATTTGAAAACATAAAAAAATAAATTTAAAAAGTTTTTGCTGAAACAGTTATAATTTATAGCTACCATATTATTATAATATTAGTATTGTGTACTTACCTATATAATCATAATTTATAAGTATTAAAAATGTAAAACCATGTCATGTTCTTACGCCTGGTGATCGTTACATCAATGTATTTCATAGGTAACTGGAAGGCACTGTATTTAAACACATAATACTATTCGTATTACTATTTACTAGTTATGTATTAAGATCCTAATAATATTGACAATGGTCATGTATATGGATATTACGATGTCACGGTCAGGATTATTGTGGTCATTATACTTAATACTCACATAAAATATGATCACCCATTATACGACACGATCTGGTGGTAAGACAGCGACCAGCAATATCGTGTTCACGGTTTAGAAGATGGCGCCATCGTCCACCACCTAACTCAGTCACTATAATTATAGTTAAGCTATATTATATTTTTATATAGCATATTACAACGGGGGGGTAATTTCAGTTTTTTTTATTTTCTGCAAGATTTTAGACAGACCAGTTTTCCCATTTTACCAGGCCAATTTCATTTTTAATACATGTATTTAAAAACTAAACAATATCCATACAAAATAAAACATTATTAATTATTTTTAAATTTAAATCAGTGGATATCTACGGGTTCTAATATATTATGTAGGCTATCATCTTTTTACGTACCTATCCATGGCATTCGAGTGTCGGCTTGTTCTAATATATTATGTATGCTATAGGTACCTACACTACTATACATATAGCTGATACCAGCAGGCTGGAGCTAACTATCTTATATAATATAATATATAATGAAACACACGGTTATCAAATAGGAACAAATTTGATGATAAAGCTGACAAAAAATAAATTTATATTACATACATGAATATTTTATGAATTTTTAATAGTAGTCATATCGGCGGCGCATAGGAGCAATGGAGCATTAATGGTGGGCCAAATATTTACTCTATTATGTTAGTGGTGCCGTCGCACACCCTGCCACCCCCCCCCCCAAAATGACGCCCCTGTATTAAAATAGAGCTACCTATTGGAAGAATGTTTAATTTTCTTGGCAGACCAATAATAAAGATAAAATATACGCAAAACATAATGTTTCAACTGATAACAGTAATACAACGACGGAGCAAGGCCACACAAGTAACATGGTTAGGTTATTGGTAGGTGGTAGTCACCATCATGGGAAAGAGATTATAAAGATTAAGCACCGAATACTCTAGTCATAAACCTATATTAACCTAAGTTCTATTTTTCTAGTCGTAATAATTTATAAATCGTTCGTAAATCGTAGTCTGATATCTTACTGATAACTCATAAGACATAATCGTAGACACTAGACCGTAGGTGGTATAATGTCTAAATACTATACTAATTCTATAATTCTATTTCACTACCTACAGGCTACAAGTTGGAAATATTGAAAATTTAAATGCTCATTTTTTAAAGAGGCTTAAGCCTATAATGCATTTCGTTTGGCAAAATATTTATTAATATGTCGAAAAACTGATTCAAAATAGTAAACACTTACTAATTAAATAATTACATAGGTACCAACTAATTAAAATTACTAAAAATATTAAAACCTAATATTCAAAACTTAGAACCAATACATTTCCATATAACATTTTCTATTAGGTAGGTAGTTATTAATTTATTACCAGACTGCCATTACATAATTTAACAATCAAAACGCATCATTAGTCGTCAATAAACTGTAATATTATCAATTTTGCATATTTATTACACTCTGGTAGCTATATATTTTACAATAATCCATAGGATTTTTATAAAATACTGTATCATACACGTATAATAATACATGTACCTATAATAGGTACACGTATTATATACAATTGGAAAATAAAATACGGTATTTTTAATTTTTACATCACTGGCCTACGAGTGAAATATGACAAACCACGTGGACCCAAAACGAACGAGCAACGATAAAGGCGGGTGGGTGGCAGTGGCGCTGAACCCATGTACTATAAACGGCCGCCACACATATTTTAAGGGGTGGTTGGCGTGAAATAAGTGTATTCATTCAATGCATTTAATTTTTTTGTACGCTGTGTTATGTATCACAATTACGTAAATATTGAGCGTATTATACTCACATTTAAGTTACGTAGGTACATGGTACCTACATAAAACAATCACGATGCCGCACGTATTCGTGGACGAGGAGGAAATATTGGTCGACAGACTCGGCATTCCAACCGTTTAGGAGGAGTTCAGTAACATACTTGGTATAACTTTGTTACTTTAAGGTTACATTATAAAGTTACGTACAAACATCACGGGGTCCGCTATCTACCGCAGGTAGATTGTCTACCTGATAATATGGGTACTGCTGCGAATCAGAATTTTTATTCCGGGCAACGGAAAAGTTAAGATACATTTTGAACACCATACACTGAATATTAAATATCGAATTGAACAAAGTTTGAGTCATATAGAGTTGATCCATTTAACGGGTTAAATATTTTTATTTTTTTATTTTATAATCTTTTAAATATTGTATCTATAACTAAAACTTGTAAAAATCGACTTTTAATAATAATAATAATAATTATTAATATTTACATTTTTAAAAATATTCAAATTCAAAATATTATTAGGATAATATGTAATATTTCATTTTGAGGATATATTATAAATTATAATATATAATATAAAAAAATTATTATTGTTAATGTCAGAAAATTATAATATAAATATTAAGAAATAAGTGAAGCTTAACTATACAGGTTTTATAAAGAATTTGCTTGTTCAATTTGCCTGCAGAAGATAATTGCCAAGAAATATGAATTTTTTTTTTGTAACGAGAAAGTAATGAGTTACTTTTCTATTCGAAAAGTAAAGTATTTTCATTACAATTTTATTTGAGTAACGAGTAAAGTAACTTAATTACTTTTTAAAAGTAACTTACCCAACACTGCATTTACTATATTACTTATTAAAAATTCTTATCAGCCACATCATTTTTTATTATACATTAATTAATATATAGATTTAGGTAACTTAAAAGTAACTTAAATTTAACTTTTCAACTCGTTGATACCCAGCCTGGCCAGCCTTGATACAATATATTACAATATGTTACCTAGGTGGCTAGGTGTAACTATAATAACATACTGGAAATGGTAGCTATTTAGAGGTGTGATAAAGCCAATTAAAATATTACAAAAATACAAACTCACCTTTGTTTAATTTATTTCGCTATTTTGACAACTTGTGAGGTTTTAAAGTTTCCGATATGGTACACGTTCAATATGACATCTTTACAATCTAAAATGAAAGGTTTAAAAATAAATTAAATGCAATTTAAATAAAATATTAATAACATACATTTTATTATTATTAACATAATATTAATATTATTTTTCATATTGTTGTTTCAGCTTCTAAATTTACCTTTTACTTATATTATAATATATATTTATATATTAGATTCTTGTGTACTAAAAAATGTTTTTAAAAAAGTTATAAAATAAAACAACCTATTAAAAAAGTATAACAAATGTCAGGTATGTGCTTTGTAATTTATATTATTAATAGTACAAAACTGATTAAATAAGCTATTATAGTAGTATGTTGATTGACATCAATACACCTTGAACTATGGCCCGAAAGTGGGGTAACGTGATAAACTGAAAACTAAGGCTTCAATACTCTTTTTAATTTTTTTCTCAAATTAAATCTAAATTGATAATAGCAATGAACACATTTTTAAATTATCAAAAAAATAATCGTCAAGCTTAAATCGTGATGAAATGTATTTGTTGTAATTTGTAAGATGATTTAAATCGGTGGTGTGGTTGTTGGTTGACATCCCGCTGCAGTATTCGCGTGATGTCCCATGTCAATTCTATTACTATTATTACACACTTTAACCACGGTCTTATTAAGAATAGACCTAAAATTAAATTAAGTATTATTTCAAGTCTTACCAGATGTCGTTCATTTCTTGGTCTCTAGCTCCCTGGCCCTGGTTGGTTCTTTCCAATAATTCAATTACTATTATAAATTAGTTATCATTAAAATTGTAGCTCATAAGTAATTATATTATTTCCTATTATAGAATTAAAATCTCACATAAAATGGTAATATTAAGTATGTACCTGAAATTAGTATAAGTCTGAACACATTTCAAATTTCTTTCGGTCTGCTAACTGGGATAGTAATTTACTTTCATTACATTTTAGAATGTCAATTTTACGGCGCATATAGTTGTTTTCGACTTCTAAATTCCAGTACTTGAGTTCCCATTGGTATTACGGTCTGCTATTGAAGAAACATTGAACGTTGACAACTATTATACTTTTTACTTCACGGTGAAGCTATTTTTCGTTGTAGGCTGGTATTCTTCAGCGTGTTATAATAATTATTTATTGTCACATTATAATTGTTTTTGTTGTGTTCTTGATGTATCTTGATGTTGGATGCATTTTAATTTCCACTGACTGGAACATGAGACCCAACGACATAGACGGGCATGAAGGGCCACAATCAAAATAGAGTCGGAGGCTGGACGAATACAACACTGTATCAGGCGGTGTGCACAACTATGCACTTAAATCACGGGAGAACGATCATATGAAGCAGACGTACAATGAGTGCCTTGGAAGTTGGAGGACCGTTCCTTGGGTGGAGGGCGAGCTGGCAACGACATTTGGAAGCGGCTTGGCGGTAGGCGCTTGTGTTTCGCAACAACCACCATCGGTTAGCGAGAACGGTACCGCATCGAGGACCCATCCGAATATTGAGCTCAATGAAGTGGCAAAGATTCGTCGATCTTGACTGGACGATTAATTTCTTATTGTATTCAGAAATTTAAATTTGAAAAATCTCAATTTTTTTATGTAATTACTTACTTACCTATATTATTTTATTAAAACCATAACTTTGTTTAATGTGTGAATAATATATTTAAATTTTATACTAGCTTTCGTTACTTTCAAAGTTTCAATACTCGGCGTTGCTCGGGATTTAGTTTGCCAGGGTGGGTATATGGTCAAATTGCACTTATTTTAGTCGAACTGCACTATTAGGCTTAAAAAAGATAATGGTCGAACTGCACTTGGGTAAAAAAACAGGGACTGGTCGAATTGCACTTGGCCTCAAAAAAGGTATTGCAACAAAAATATCATGCATTTGAAGGGGTTAAACGTTTATAAAACACTAAATTTCTTTCCCACTTATAGGCTTAGGACTGACAATGATTTTAATCATTGGCGTAGTTAAAAATTATGTTTTATACATGCCATATTGTCCATTATGTTAATATAATATTATATAAACATATATTAAATCATAAAATATTATTATGGTCATTATTGTAACTTTTTTTTTCAAACTAATTTTGATAATTTTTTTAGTAATAATATATTTTTTTGAATTGTCAAATATTATTCATTTTTTTAATTTTAATACATTTTTTTAGTAATTCGTTTTTTATATCGTCAAATATTATTATAATAATAAACTTGAAAAATAATAATATAGTGACCTTAAATTTTAACTCCTTTATTTGAACGAGTGCAGTTCGACCACTATCTGCTATTTTTACCTGAGTGCAGTTCGACCATTACCTTTTTTGAACCCAAGTGCAATTTGACCATTTCTTTTTAGGTAATAATAGTGTAATTCGGCCAGGGCTCAGTAAAATGTATGAAATTAATATTTAAAAATATGTCAGAATATCAGGTTGAAAGTTGTAATTAATCGAGATATGCTGTATAAACTATAAATACTATAAATTTACTGATTTACTGATACAACCATACAGGTATATTTAAATAGTTATGGCTTTCGTCATCCAGCGTGGTTGCCTAATATATTTTATTAAATTGTATTTGTCGTATATTTCTGAAGAAGAGATTACTCATATCATTCATCTAAAATTACCCTCTACGGCCAAGAGTAAACTGCTCCACAAGAACCTTTTTTTATTGTATTCTCCTCCAGGAAAATAAAACAAGTAAAATTGGGTTCATGTAAACTCCGCCAGTGACAAAAATCAAGTCACAGTATACATTATACAATTAATGTGATATACAGATTATTATTAAACAAAAAATCACAATTTTATAATAATAATTATCCTTATTAAATAAGTATATGCAAAAAAATATAAAACTTAAAAATAAAAATAATAATTGTTGGAACAAATCATACAAATTGCAATGGCCAGTATGATGTTAAAAAATAATGATAGACAATTGTAATAACTAATAATCAAAAAATTTGTAGGCACCTATAATATTAGGTATATTATTATTACATTATATTTTATAATACTTATACGAATAGCACTTAATTATTTTTATTATTTTATTATTATATTAGGCATTGTTGGTATTATCATAATATTATAATATGTATACATCGTTGGCCCAAAAATAGGTATGCAGTCGCCTACCTCACTTATTCCCTATGAAATAGTTGATCGAAAATCACGTTCTTCTACAATACGCTCATTTTCTTGAATAAAAATTTCTTATCAAAAAGTTTTTTTTCCTTTGTAGTTGTAATGTAAATTTATTATTTAAAATCTAAATTCGAGATGGCATTTTTCGAAATTCCCAATTCAATTAAATGGCCGGGTTTTTTTTAAAAATGACTTTAAGCCCATAACATATTCAGTAGTATTCAGCTGAATAACACATTTATTATTAAATGAAAAATAACTGAATAGGTATACTGGCTCATAGGCCTTATACTTAAATATTGTAATATTATATAACCATTTCGTCTTACAAAATATTTGTGATTTGAGGCACCGTTTAATCATTAAGTTTGGGTGTGCATCATCATGACCTAGGTACATGTTTATGTACGTACGATTTAACCTATGTACATTTAAAGAGTTCCAATTTATTATAGCTAGCTGCTATTCAGTCTTCTGGTAATCCAGTCGGTAAAACAAGACACTCTTGTGTATATTCCCGGATAACCTGGTTCGCCACATAATTTAGGTCCACGAGATACTACGCCCATCAAATAGTATTGATTTTTGATGAAAAACATCATAGGTCCACCGGAGTCACCCTGAAACAATGATTTATCATTTAAACTATGAGGTCCAAACTGTCCATCTTCATAGTAAGTATGCAATTAAAAGAGGAAATTACTCGACAAGCATCTTTTCCTCCCTTCGGATGTCCAGCGCATATTATAATTTTCTCATCGATTACAATATTGTTTTTCTTATATAAATATTTACAGTCCGTGGTATTCGTTATAGGAATTTGAGCTTCCATCAAATGTGTATTGCGTTCTTCACCTGAACAATTATATTATGTTATATGTATACATTATTGTAATAATGGTATATCGCACATATACAGGCTGTAACAGATAGAACTGACTTATTGAATAACTTTTGTTCTAATCAATACTCTATTATTTTATTTTTGTATATAATTTATAGCCATTTGAGCTACAAGTGTAATAAAAAAAAAATTATTTTTATTTTTTAATACTAAAAATAAACAATTTTAAATTGAATATGAATTTTTTTGAATAAATTCAAAATATCCAATTTGTGAATCTGACTATAAGAACGATTTGGATGGTAAAAACAGTTAAATCTACGTAAAGTAGTTTATTTTTTAGAATTTTTTTAAATATCAATATTTTTTTTGATTAAATTAATTTGGAACGCAATAACTTTTTTAAAAATATTATTTTTGGAAATTTTCTAACATGGGGATACTTCTTAACTGTTTACTAATCATATAATTTTATCAATTTTTGTCATACGTTTAAGTAGCATTTAAACGACCATCGCTACCATCGCTGGATGATTTCCCTCATCTTGTGTTTCATGTATATAGTGTTATGTCAGCCATTTATTTTACTTATTGTGTCATGCATTACATATACATTTTCTAAAATAATAATAAAAAAAAGTAGCATAATTTTTTTCTTTTGGTCAGTTTTTTCTGTTACACCCTGTATATGTATTTTATACAATGTAAATGATAATTATATAATCAATGATATCATTACGTTTATTCATTATTATACATCGTGGCTAATATATATAGTATTATGTTTACTTAATACTGATGGAGAATTGATGGAACCCCAACCAGCAACAAACGGCATATTAATTGCTTTCAAATTAATGAATCTCACATCCGATGACAATGGCAAACATATTGGTTGGATCAATTCTGCAAAGTATGAAATATTAAAAACTATTCCACCATATAATATATATATATATATATTCATACAACCGTATCGTACATTGAATTTGCCAACCGTTTGGCACAATCATGGTATTATAGGTACCAACAATAAATTAATTTAAAAAAAAATCTGTGATGGAAAAACTTACCAGTGTAAGCAACACTATGGTTTAATTTTAGTAATGCTATATCATTGGAAACCCCTTCAGAGGTGTACCCTTCGTGTATTATAATACGTTTAATCGGGACATCCAATGGAGTTGCGCCGTCATTGAAACTAGGATCCAAATTTAATTCACCCAATCGCGCAGTGGTCCTAAAAAATAAAACAGAACTTAATCATATATTATCATGAAAATATTGTAAAGTAAAAAAAATAATTAATAATAAATAAAATAATTTGTTATTATTATCAAACAATCGTATTTAAGGTCCATTAAAAATCCGATACATTTACTTACAGTCTTATATTAACGCGATCTCTTACGCATTCGGCGGATGTTAATACGTATGTATTCGCGATTAGCGTTCCACTGCACAGCCACTGTAGAGAATTATTATTCATATTTAAATTTTGATAACCAAGAGCTACCATCCAAGGCCAAGCACCTATACAAAAGTAAAATATTGAAATGAAATGTACAGTTTTCTTCGAGTACTTACCTACCTAATTGAGATTGACTCCCTCCAATTATTCGATCAGCAGAGAGCTGCCTTTGTCCACACGTAATTTGTGATGATAATGTATCCTCTGGAATTGTTTTATCCAATGGGCAGCAAACTTTTGAAGTTTTACCTTCAAATCCACAAATTGAATTGCGAAGAAGTATCATATCAGATTCAGTGGTATTTGGGTCTTGTAGTAACGATATTAACTTTGTGCAATTTCTTATATCAATACAAACACCATTCTCATTATTTGGTGTACGGCATTCTGTTAGAAATAATAATAATAATAATAATAATATCAACAACAACAGTCAACAATAGTAGGTAGGTACAAGGTACTTATTAATATTTGATACCAAAGATACCAGGGATTTGAACACAGGCGAGTAACCAAGCTAGTCGGCCGCGGCAGCGGTATAGACAATACCTCAAGAATTCTAGTTTGGAATCTAAACTTTTAACTTTTTGAAGTTGTTTTTATTAAAATATTTTTTTTTTTTAATAACGATTTACTATAATGAATTTATTACAGTAGGTATAAATTAATATTATTTTGATAATGATAATACGATTATACCTTAATTACATTTATCTCTAAGTTACGAATAAAGTAACTTAGTTACTTTTAAAAGTAACTTATACCCAACACTGATATTAACTCACCATTGTCAGATTGAGCAATTGCCACACCGATCACGAATGCCACACAGATAAAATGTTGTAGTAATCTCATAGTACAACTGAAAGAGAACAAATAATTATATTTATAATTATGTTATTTACTGAGAATAGATAGTTCAACATTTCAAAGAAGTAATAGAATATATTGTATGGTATATTCATAATATTGTGAAAATTCAAATTCTTATTTATATTATGTTTTAAACTTTCTTGTTATAATATTTTTCTTCAATTTGTATTCAATAGATTCCTATTAAATGGACATTTAGAATTCAAGAGTAAAACAAATCTAAATTTTTATTTTTAATTTGTAATGCAAACTCTATACGATTATAGGTAAATACTAGTTACGCAATGAATAACAATATAAAAATATATCTAGATACAGTTTAATATCTATGTTACTTGGTTAATTATTTTATTAAATGGTTAGGTTAGGTGTGATATTTTCCCGATTTAAGAATATGTTAGGGCACTATTTATTTTCTCTCTCTGGCCCACGTGCAATATAGATAAAACGAATTTATGCAGAATAATTTTTTCTATGTTTTTATGTAATCTTAGAGTAAAATCGCCCATTACAAAAAAGATAAAGAATAATGTTTTTGGTGGAATGACATATCGATTTGTCTAAATATTGTCTCAAAAAGGTTAGAAAATATTGTCTCAAACAACATTTTTTGTTTATTTTGAATACAAAGTCAAATAACAAAAAATATAAAATCGATATGTCAATCCCTAAAAAATATTATTCTCTATCTTTTTTGTAATGGGTCATTTTACTCTAAGATTACTTAAAAAGTAGAAAAAATTCGTTAATGCGTTTTGTTTATTCCACGCTTGGGCCGCCAGAGAGAAAACAAATAGTGCGCTGACTCTATACTCAATCACTGTCACAATAATTAATTTAATAATAAGCAAAAAGAAAGGATATCTTATTACATATAATATTTATCAATTAGCAAAACTAAAAATGTAAAAACAAGGTAAACTGATAACTTGATAACTTTTTTTTTTTACTCAACTGGTTGATGATAGTGGATACTATTTAAAGTAGGTAACTTTTTGTTCCTTGACAAGAAGACGAAAAGACGGAATAATCATACGCGATTCACACAGAAATACCGTATTGCGAGTAGATAATATAATACAATATTACAACTAACTACTATTTCATAGATTAATTTTTGAATTAGTATGTACGATTACAATAAAAAAAAAACTATTATTAAGTCACGTATAGAGGTTATCCACTTTAGCTGGTAATATATATAGTACGTATTTATAATAATAAGTATTATGCGAATTATTTGTTGCGTTGTAAACGGACACTAACGTAGTGACGTAGTAACGTAGGTATACTGACTGCACATTGATTCTTCTCAGCAATAGTTGCTTTTTTTTTTACATTTGAGTGCGTACCGACCTGTGAGTAAGTGGAAAGTCCCGATGACGCTGTCCACAATCTCCAACGATGTTGTTATAGGTACTCCCACATACCATATCTCATTATCGAATCACGAACCACGGTTTAACATAACGGAGTTATTTCTGTTGATCTGCAATATTTGATAAATGAAAAGTGAGAGAACCTGTATAGAATTACCATTTATGCGTAAAAATTTAAATGATATATTATTATGGGTTTTTTTTTATTATTAAAATGTCAATATATGTAAATAGTGGGTAATACGTTATCAAAGTATCTACACCTGATACGTAGTATACGTAATTTTATAAAAACCCCCCAGAGGTTGCATTTCCTGTAAGTAATCGGCCAAAATGTCCGATTTAAAAAAATTTTAAGTTCCAGATCCCAATTTTCTTTATCGGGGGAAAAAAATCATTAAGGAACAGGAATTTTATACAAACAACCAATTTTAGATTTGTGGTTTCTTAGACAGGTAAACTATAGTAGTTAGGTACGCCGTCCACCGTCCAACGCTGAGTTGAATTTCTTCATGGTCAGCTTAGCGTACTCAGCTGATTCGGTTTATGTTTCCTGATTCTGATTATAGACGGATAACCAAAAAATTTACAAGGTTGCACGAAATGAGCAATGTTTATTACATAATACAAAATAAACATCGGTCAAATCACCGGTTGTATATTATATTAAATTAAATTATAAACAAGAGAATTCCTAAAAAAAAAAAGTGTTTATGAAATTGAAAGCCATCTTGTGTAGTAGGTACGTTGCATTTTATTGTTTGGCGCCCGAATGTAATGAAAATATGCAATCAAATATGCAATATTTTTCTCTTAAATATACTAATCGAACGAAAAAATAGTAATTTTGTTTGGATCACGAGTATACCTACCCATTAGAAGTTAGAACTGGTTAGATCTATAAACACAATATTGATAATCATTAATCTCGTCAAAAATAATATGTTTTGTGATGTACATATACCGTTTGTTTTTAATAAAATATAAAATGTGTCAAGTTTAAGCATGTTGAATCCTACAATTATTTCACATGCATTATTGCAGACTAATTTAGGTAGGTATTGTAGTATTATAGGTACTTATCAACGCTGAGATTATTGCATGTCCATAATATAGAAGCAATTTGAACACGAAATCATGATTCAGGTTAAAGGTAGATCTGATTTATCTGAAATCAACTTTTAAACAGTATTGTTTAAAGTCAGTATATTAAAATAATATAATAACATAAAATGTTCTCATTTCAACTGTATTGTAAACTATATGAGTTGTTACACCAAAGACAGTACTAATATTGTAATGTATTTAGACAGAGTGAAAAATATAATATACAAGTATTGACGGTGGAAAGTGCGTATTATAGTCGTGTACGTGATCTACCTATAATTATTATGTAATCGATTACAAAATTATAAAATGCGATGGACATCCGAAGAGAGGAAAATATGCTGGTTGAGTAATTTCCTCGATGAAGTTGGAACATTTGGACCTCATAATTTAAATTATAAATCATTGTTTTAGGGTGACTCCGGCAAAAAAATATGGTTGCTCCATCCCCCGTAAGATTAATGGCTAGTGTGGGTTAGAAGATTTTGTCACTGATTTTGAACCATTTGAATATATTTCGATATTACAGATACTTATCATCAAATGTAAAAAAAAATTGTGTGATGTTTATGCACCCCCCCCCCAGAAAAAAACCCTAGAGCCGCCACTGGTCCCCAGACCAGACACCAGAGGTGAGCAATGAAACCCACCTCATCATCGGCTCATCACTATTGATTCACCATCATGCGGCCACCATATCGAGTCTGGACAATAAACGTCATCGTCTGTCGTGTGCCTTTTATTGTACTCGGCCATTGCAATCATGGAAACATTCACTGACCATGATCCACTGCATAGGCGGTCCTACGGACAGACACAAAAATAAAAAAATAAAACATAAAAAAAACACACATCATTGTAAAATCAATACATTCATCGTTCCACTCAGAATCTAAAATGTGTGATGTTTATGGCCCCTATCACTAACCCCACTAAAAAAAAAAAAATATCTAGAGCCGCCACTGGTCCCCAGACCAGACTCCAGAGGTGAGCAGTGAAACCCACCGCATCACTATTGATTCACCGTCATTCGACCACCATAAATACGTCGTCGTCTACCATAATGTGCCTTTTATCGTACTCGGCCATTGTAATCATGGCAACATTCACTGACCATGATCCACTGCAGGTGAATTTTCAAGCTCAACTTTTGGACACTACACGACAGACGATGTAGACAATATGTAGCTACGTCCTACGTGAACACAGCTTAAAGTGTTTGACCGCCCTGTGTGACCGAATTATAATTACCTTGGTGACGACTGATTACAAGCTACAAAATTTTAAAAAATACAATCGGCGCAGCTGATCAACCGTGCGATCTACCGGTGTAAAAATAAATAGAAACAACGGTCGTTATCGTCAGTGATTTTCGTTTGTTGTTGACGTGATAAGCCGGTATCTCTGACGTGCGCGGTGATAACAGTGTTTATTAATTATTTCGTGAAAATAACAACAATAATAATAATAATAATAATAATCTGTCCATTGCTGTGTTGCTGTAGTTCTTCACCTCGGCCGTAAACTGTGAAGTGCGCCTACGTTACGGTGTCACGATTCACGACTGTTCAATAATTATTATCATTTACCACGACGACGGGAAGACAATTTAGTAACTCCATCATAATTATTATCGTAGTCATTTAAAATAATTGATCGTCTTTAATTATTTTAATGGGTACCTACGTGCGTGTACAACTACATCACACAATAACACGACGATAATAATAATAATAATAATATTGTAGTGGGTGTGTGCGTAGCGCGTGTGCGTTTGCGTGCGTGTGTGGCAATCCGTCGTGGTCGCGCGCGTCGTTATCCAAATTCCCAATTCCCAATCCGTTCGACCCGATAAAGAATAAATGCTCTGAGTGGCTGGCCTCCGCCGCCGAGTTCCGACCGACTCATCTGGATCGTCATTCGTCATACGACGTGGCACGTTTAATGTTTATCATCCGTGTGTCACGCACCGCGTTGGTCTCGAACCGCACTATGGACCGTCCACGTTTCAGAAGACGACTCTCGACGACATCAGCCACCGACTCCTCCGTCGCCCGCGATTTCGGCGTCACCGACAACGTTTAACGGGTCTCCGCCACCTCCACTAGGTACGTCAGCACGTCACCGCCCCCTGGCAAGAGGACAAGTCGACCCACGTCCGGCGTATAGAGGCGATCGACGGCTGGACTCGGGGCATGTAAAGACATGTGCGGCGTCGACACCAAAATGGCACAAACCAAAGCCCTGATATTGGTCGGCGGTTACGGCACCCGTCTGCGACCACTCACGCTCAGCCGGCCGAAGCCGCTCGTCGAGTTTGCCAACAAGCCGATGATACTCCATCAGATCGAAGCCCTGGTCACAGTCGGTGTGCGAGAGGTAAACATGTTCACCATCTAGAACCTCGGCGGTTTGCCATGACTTTGTACACCTCTAACCGCCTCCCCAAGCTACGTGACTTGTCGTTCGACACCTCAGTAGGCGTCTCGCACAAGGTAGTGCTTTTTCAGGCCAAAACCCTGTGCGCCTGTGCACATTTCTATTAGTCCCTCAATGTTCTTTATATTATTGAGTACCTATAGTTAAAATATAAGTTTTTTATTTGAAAAACAAAACATTTAGTGACCCAACTTATATTTTTAATTTCAATTTCTTACCGACTAGATTTTATTATTAAATGTATATATAACTTGATTTGATGGTACCTAATTAACTTAATAATATTATCTTTCATTGCTTAGTACTTACCTATTCCTATATTTTCCTTATATTTTTAATACACGGTAAGTGACAATACTAATATATTGACTGTTGATTTTAGGTTATATTGGCTGTTTCGTACCGTGCCGAACAGATGGAAAAAGAGATGAGTGATGAAGCCAAGAAACTTGGTGTTCAACTAGTTTTTTCACATGAATCTGAACCCCTTGGCACGGCTGGACCTTTAGCTCTAGCCAAACATTTGTTGGCCAATGAACAAAACCAGCCATTTTTTGTTTTAAACTCTGATATTATTTGTGAGTATCCATTTAAAGACTTGATTGCGTTCCATAAATCGCATGGTCGTGAAGGTACAATTGTGGTAACTAAGGTTGAAGAGCCATCCAAGTATGGTGTTGTGATGTATGATGAAGACACTGGTCGCATAGAAAGTTTCATTGAAAAACCACAAGAGTTTGTCTCTAACAAAATCAATGCAGGCATTTACATTCTAAATCCGTCTGTGTTGGATAGAATTAAGTTGGAGCCAACAAGTATTGAAAAAGAAGTGTTTCCGTTTATGGCCCAAGACGGTCAGTTATATGCGTTTAACTTAAAAGGATTCTGGATGGATGTAGGACAACCAAAAGATTTCCTAACTGGTTAGTTATCATTTGTATGGATCTCATGAATCTTAAGTACATGTAATAATTGTTTGTTACTTCCAGGAATGTGCATGTACTTGACATCATTAAAGACACGTAGTCCAACTTCATTGTATTCTGCTGATGGTGTCGTTGGTAATGTTCTAGTTGATCCAACTGCAACTATAGGTGAAGGTTGTAAAATTGGTCCTAATGTTACTATTGGTCCAAATGTAACTGTTGAAGATGGTGCTTGCTTAAGAAGGTGTACCATACTAGCAGGGGCCACAGTTAAATCACATACGTGGTTGGATTCTTGCATAATTGGTTGGCGTTCAGTAGTTGGATGTTGGGTGCGTATGGAAAATACTACCGTACTTGGAGAAGATGTTATTGTTAAAGATGAACTGTACATTAACGGTGGACAGGTTTTACCACACAAATCAATCAGTACTTCAGTACCTGATCCTCAAATTATTATGTGATTAATATTATTTTATTTGTAAAAAATATTTTAATTATTATTAATTGTTAATTTTTTATTTTTGTGTACATAATTGGGGTTTTATTAATTTTTTTTTTATCAAATATTGAATCTGCGCAGAAAAAAAGGTTAATCTTAATCTTTTCGGATAAATGTATCCTAATGCCAGACAAATAAAAAGATTAAAGCTTATTCTTATATTAAATTCATTACGATGAAACATCTGTTCTGACAGTTCAGATTTCATAACTGCCATACACAGAAAGGTTGGACCTTTCAGATCCCAAGGCGCAGAATTATATTATAAAAAGCAATTATTGTAGACATATTAAGTAGCTATTTATTTTGTAACCTACCATAATAAATTAGGTTAATATGAGCATGATTCATGCAATACTATATTGGAAAATAAATAATTATTTTTTTATTATTTGTTTAAATTTATTTAATTAAAAAACACATGCTTGGAATCATTTCATTTAAACTATAATACTATCAAAAATTGATAGATTTCAACGTTTTATTATGTGCTCATGTTTATGTTTACATTGTTGTTTTATGTTTTTCACAACTAAACAACACCTTTATTATTATGTGTATAGTAGTATAAATAATATTAGTAAAAAAAAATAAAAATATTTTTAAATGGTAAAAATTAAGACTATTGTTTATGTTATGTTAATTATATTAACTTAACAATAGTCGGTAATCTAAATATTCTTATGTTATTTAGTTACCATAACAAGACTTGTATTATAATGTTTGAAAAATCTATTACATTTGAAAAACATAATTAATTAGTAAATAATAACTAATAACTACTATACACATAAAAATAAAATGGGTAAAAAAATACTTTTGAGTTATCTCTTACGCAAACCTATATTTCATCAATAATACATTTCACAAATCATTTATTTTATTATTTTTTAATTGTTACATTTGTTAATTTATATAATTTATCAACACATTCATGGTTATCAATCATGAGACTCAATAAAAATCTACTAAAGATGAAGAAAAATAAATTGTTCAATGCATTTTTTATTATTTATATTAGATTTTATTCCAAAATATAATTAATTTTAACTTTTCAACTTGTTTATTTTTATATTCATTTTGTTATGTTCATAATTACAAAATATGTTTCAAAAACACTTACTATACGAAACTATAAATCCGATATTTTGATTTTGAAATAAAAATAAAAAATATTTTATATATGAGTTATAATTTGAAGGTAAACATTTTTGTTAATTTTTGAATCACATTAAAAATTAAAACTGTGTTTAAATTGTACCATTCTGTTGAATAAAATTATTTATATTTACATACTTGAAGTGTTTTATGTTACATTTTAGATTCTTGACAATGCAATGAAGAAACTGATTTTTTGTCACACCTGCACCGAAAGTTTGGTTTTCGATAGCGGTTGAAGTGTTGGAAAGCGTCCTTTTTCCGTCCTTTTTCAGCTAGCGGTAAAGAAGGTAATCCCTAAAAGTACAGGGCGATAAAGTGGAAATCCCATAAAGTGCCGGCCGGTAAAGTGGAAATCCCAAAAAGTGCCGGCCGGTAAAGTGGAAATCCCATAAAGTGCCGGCGGTAAAGTGGAAATCCCAAAAAGTGCTGGGCGCACATATCACGCGCGTATCCTCTGCACAACCAGACACGGATATCTAATATCTATACCACGGTCCTTACAAAACATAAACTTTTGGTTACATCTTGTATTCATATTACCTGTAATCTCCATGCGTCACGCTTAAAATAAATAAAATCAAATTGTTTCTTTCATGAAAATATTGCCGTCGTAGAATTTTGGTCTTAGTTGTTGCATTACCTTCGCCGTGATCGATGAGTGTAGAGGCGTAACGAAAAATAGTATGTGTGGCTCGTGCGGGAAGGCAATTTCCCGCTCTTTCCACACAATATACTATTGCAGTTAAGTGTTTTTTTTTGTATAAATTATCGTCCATTTTGGCTCCTGAGACAAGGTACGATAGGTACCTATGCATATTAACACTATTTTTCTACTATAAATTTAAGATCGTTTTTCCATACAACATTTTAACTACCTATTCTTTGGGTTTTCTATTTTTTTTTTTTTACATAGAACTTTTATTACAGTGCTGGGTAAATTACTTTTGAAGAGTAATAAAATTACGTTACTCGTTAAATAAAATATTTTAAATTCTCGTTACCCGACATTATTTTTATCGCGTTAAGTAACTTTGATTATCGACTCAACAGACCAGGTAAAATATTTAAATTTTTAACTATCGCGGAAGTTACTAAAAATCTCAAGACTTCGAGTATAGATGTATAACTATAAATTATAATGACGAATTTATTACTTTTTGATTAGATCGAACAAAACAATGTGTTTCAAGTGAAATCTGTCAAAGACCGATGAGTACTCGGCACAAGATTGACTGTTCAGACTATGTCATAATGGTAAATGGGCTTATTATGCTTATTTAGGGGGGGGGGCATGAGGTCCTTACCCCTCCATTTGGCCTCATAAATACTTATCTAAACATCTAATATATATATTAAATATTAATATATTCTGTAGCCGAACCCCTCACTCTGTGTTTGGAAAATTAACAGGACCCCTCCATGAAAAATCCATAAACACCTACGCCACTGAATTGGTGACTGTTCAAAAGTTCGAAGGAAGACGTGTTTTCGGTTACATCAGTTCTGGAAATATTTCATTGTCATGAGCTTATTTTGGATTAGCCAAGTAATCGTTTGGAGTCTACAAGACCTCATATGCTTTGATATTTTAGCCTTCAGGTGAGTAAACATAAAATTAATTATATTTTCATCGTACTATCACCATTCACCAGTAAATATTTGTGTTGAATTTCTGATCCGACTTCAGAATAATAATAGGTACCTGAGTATATGTTATAGTATAATTTATTATGCTAAATTTCTATATAATATTTACTGGCTTATCTGCTATCAAAACTATTACTTCACTGATGACAATTACCATTTACCTATAAACTGTTTATGGAACTTATCTCTAGTTTGAAATCTAGACATTTTCGAGTTATTTGATACAGTTTTCACGTAGATCACTCTTAAACATTAATAAACCAAATCATCGATATAAAATAGAACACTTGTTTTTTTAAATTTTAAGACAAGTAGGTATTGCATTGTATTTTATTTGGTATTTGCTTTATAATTTTTCTAGACACATTTTCTAACTATTAAGTACCTAATTAATAATTAAGTTGATAATTATTTAATATTTAATAATTTGGTATGTATAAATAAATGTGTATTACACATTTAACTGTAGAAATTGCTATTTATATTCGTATTTAAAAATAATTATTAATTTATCCATTTATACAAGAAAAAGTATCGTTCACTTTAAATATTTGAAAATAGCTTGCTTTTCTTTCAGGTACACGGAGACCTTAACTGAACTCGAAAATACCACAGTGATAACTGATGAGCAATCGTGGACAAAAACTTTACAGCTGGTTTGGCCATAGGAAATCAATGTATCGGCGATAAAATTCCGTTCTTTTTTTCCGGTTGGTTTTTCAAACGAATCGATCATACATGATACATCAATCCTATTTGGAGACTGCCTGTCTAGTTCACCAACTGCATTTGGATCGTGTCGTGATGTCTTGTCAGTTTATGTTGGATTTATTGCCCCTCAGAGTTCTGCCATGACAGTAATGGTATTATCCGGACTATTGGCTGGTAGCTGGTTTTATACCACAGGTGACGCCGTAACGGACGTGCGAATAGGCAACAAACGAAACACAAACGAATGGAGTTCATTTTGGATGCACCACTGCAGGTCCGCCAGATTATAATTTTTTTTCAAACCACCACATAGGAGGGATAATTGTACAAAAACCTGGCCAAAATCATATACGTTGGAAATAAACAGGCTGCATGGAACTTATATAACTGGCAAGTAATCTTATTAGTTATTATATATCAAGGGGAATTTATAAATTCGTTTATTTACTTATAAATCCACCTTGTTAGGTACTTATATATAATTTATACCTGTGTTTATATCTTATCAAGTCATAATATTGATAAAACGATTTCTCATAAATTTAGATAATAGAATAATAAATGCTTCAACAATGTCTTTTTACGTGAAGCAAGGTGAAGGTAATTCATTGATTTTATTATTAGAGATTTGTTTAATCATTTATTGTTATCTAATTAGTTTAAACTTGTGGCTAATGACGATGGTCCATTTAACGATTTCATGTTATTTATAATATTATATAGCTTTCGACCGGAAATCCACTATACTCACTTACCTACTGACGCCTAAAATACTAAAACATAATATTATAGGAAACATTCAACGAAAACAATTTTGCATATCTGCTCGTAAGCGGTCTATAATATTTAAATTGGTAAAAAAAAAGAATTTTTACATTCAAAATAGTAGTTAGGTACTAATAGTTTGTGTGGCTAAAAAAAAACATAATTTTTTTTACATAAATAATAAATTAAAATATATTTAATAATTACCCAATGAATAATTGGCATTTAAATAAAATTATAATATAATTTGGGTAATTTGTGTGGGCCGATTAACTATATAACGTGCATTATCTTCGTACTAGCAATAAATTGTTCACAAAATTTAATGTAGAAAAATATAGGTATAAACGTAATATAAGTAAAAAGTAAATAATACTGATAACAACAATAGGTAGGTATGTATCGTATATAATAGTATAATACGTACAGCTAAAGAGTATACGGAAACAATAATTATAAAAAGCATATGCGTTAGATAATATTATTAGGTAGGTATAATATTATGCCATGATATAAATATAGGTATTTTTATATTTTATAATAATATAAAAATAATTATGATTATTGATCAACGACAGTTCTCAATAGACTTTTACACTCCACTCCGCAATCACCCTAAAAAAAAACAAATTGCGATTTACGATTAACGATTGATTATAATATTATTACTGTACGTTCTTATAACATTATCGTTTATACTAATTTTGTTCTTATATTTTATTAATACTTTTAAATATATTCTCGTAATACCTACCATGGATTATTTATTTCTTTAGTCTTCTTATACCTACTTTATAATATTATATTAATTATCAGGTATATAATACATCGTATACCTACCTATCTATTCAGACTATTTGTAATGTTACAGTGAAATATAAAAATTAAATTTAAATTAGGTAACTCAATGTTATTACTATAACATTACATTCCTGCAGTTTACAGTACTGGCGTACTGCATATGAATAATAATTACTATAGTAGAATCATTGATTGTAATTTATAAATACTATACTATACTATTTATTATCAATGATAGAATGTTATAAGCTTATAACTTTTAACTTATAAGATTATGGAGTTTAACTGGGAGGTGAACGTGGTTTGGACACCTTTTACATTTAAATTTTATCACTCACAGCTCTTTCCGTTGAATTGTATATTATGCTGTATCTGATTTGAAAAACAACTTAATTATCCATTATAATCTATAAAGTTATTTAGCCATCGAGGCATAGGCCCAAATTGACTAAATTTTTTGGTGGGACCCAAGCCCCACTAAGCCATATTGCTTAGTTCCACAGAATATAAAAATTAGTACTAGTTACTAGATTTTGAACTTGGGGGAACTTGACCGATATTTGGGGGGACTAAGTTCCCCGAAGCCCCCTCCCCCTATTTGCGCCAATTCATCGAGGTAAGCAATGTTATCGATGGAAAAATATCCAATTTTACTAGTGTTTTTCATATAATAATATCGAATAGGTATTAACAATGTGCTACCTGGTAGGTACCAAGAATATTATATAATAAATTATAAAATATAATGTGAAGTTTTTAACATGCAACAATTCACTTGGGTAGAAAGTTATATCACCTTGCATAGTGCATACATACAAAAATAAAAATAAACAAGCCGATACTAGTTAACGCAAGAACAAATAAATTTATTTAGCGATAATGTTACATAATATTAATTTAATTCATAATATAATAATAATAATCAGGAAAATATATATCTGAATAATAATACACTCGTGACAATATAATTGTATATAAATTATGTTAGTACGTTTATATAAAATATAAAGCATAATAATTAATATCATAGTAAAATATAATATAGTATGCCACGATTGGCGTGAAGAAATCGAATTTTTAATAACAACTATATTTAAAAATTTAACAATGGGCATTTATTAATAAATTTAAAAAAACATTTAATCTATTATATTACGTATGTATATTGAATGACAATAATTTAAGACACATTTTGTAATATCTACTTCAGGACGTAGTATAGTAGTAGTTGCAGTTGTTGGTTGTAGTACTATAGTCAGTAGAGTAATCTGTGCGCGTCCACAATGACGGTGGAATGAAAGAGCCTTTTTAAAAACATTATTGCGACACGAGTGTGATAAGCAAATATTTGAATTCTGAACCACAATCACTCTGGGAACAGATAAATTGAATAAGTACGTAAAAATGATATTTTTGATCAAATATGTTATCATGGTCTTAATGCCTTATAATATTATGATTTTATATGTCATCATTGTCCATAATATTTTATTTTAGTACGGTGATGACAGATAAAATATATATGATTATTGGAGACTAATGGAGTAGGTACCTGATTATAATATACCTAAACGTTTTTAACCAATACAATAATTAGTGATGTTAGAAACTTCCCATGTTATAAGGTATTGTTGTTATCCCCTGATTTTTTGATCCTGTACCTTATTCAAAATATATTATTAGGAATATGTATTAACCATTAGTTGAAATGTAGCAAAACACAATTATTTACCAATACGATGTTGAAGTGGAATTAAAAAAAAGAGCTCTTTCCATCGCATCGTACATTATGCTGCATCTGATTTGAAAAACAACCGAATTATCCATTCTAATGTTATTTCTAAAGTTATTTAGCCATTGAGGTAAGCAGTATTATCAATGGATAAATATCCAATTTTACTAGCATTTTTCATATAATATTATGTATATAATAATATCAAATATTAACAATATTGTGCTCCCAGCTGGTACCACGCAAGTGAATATTATATAATAAATTATAAAATATAATGTGAAGTGTTTGTTTTTAACATGCAACAATTCACTTGGGTAGAAGGTAGTATTATCACCCTGCATACATACAAAAATAAAAATAAACAAGCCGATACTAGTTAACGCAAGAAAAAAAAATTTATTTAGCTATAATTTTACATATAATATTAGTTTAATTCATAATATAATAATAATAATCAGGAAAATATATACCTGAATAATAATACACTCATAAAAATATAACTGTATATAAATTATGTTAGTACATTTATATAAAATATAAAGCATAATATTATACCTATTAACATTACAGTAAAATATATAGTATACCATGAGTGAGTAAATTTTGTCTCTCGGCGGTGGAGTGAAGAAATCGAATTTTTAATAACAACTGTATATACGAAACTTTAACAATGGACATTTATTATTAATATTTATAAATTTAAAAAAAAAAATGTATCTATTACATTGCTTATATATATTGAATGACAATAATTTAAGACACATTTTGTGAAATATCTACTACAGAACGTAGTATAGTAGTACCTAGTTGCAGTTGTTGGTTGTTGTAGTACTATAGTCAGTAGAGTTATCTGTGAGCATCCACAATGACGGTGGAATGAAAGAGCCTTTTTAAAAACATTATTGCGACACGAGTGTGATAAGCAAATTTTTGTAATCTGAACCACAATCGCTCTGGGAACAGATATAAATTAAATAAGTACGTAAAAACGATATTTTCGTTCAATGTTATCATGGTCTTATAATATTATGGTTTTATATGTCATCATTGCCCACAATATTTTATTATATCTATGATTGGACTATAGTTGGAGTACCTGATTATAATATAAACTTTTTTAGCCAATACAATAAAGAAATTATTAGTGATGTTAAAAACTTCTGATGTTATAAGGTATTATTGTTATCATCTGGTTTTTTGATCGTGTACCATATTAAAATACAATATTAGGAATGTGTATTAGGTAAGATGTAGAAAAATATACAATTATTTACCAATACGAAGTTGATGTGAAATTTAATAAAAAAGTAGAATGTTACATTTTTAACGAATTTCTCCACCATATTAAAATCTTCAGATCTCAGCTCCAAACCGAGAATTTTCCATGCTTTGAACTCACCGTGTATTGTATTATTGGTTATTGTGTCTCCTCAAAAAAATTATACGAGTATAATATTTAAGAAGACTTCCCGTGCAGGATTTTTAAGGGGTTCGTATAGGCAATTCCTATGACATATACGTACAATTTGAAAGATCAAAAACAAAATTTTCGTTTTGTACTTTTATCCCGTAATATCCTGCACGAAAAGTCTTCACTAATGAAGAAACGTTGACTTTGCATTAATGCACCTATAGTCATACTCGTGTAGACGACTATTGATTTTTAATTGAATTAGATAATGAACATTATAATTATTACTTAGTGTTACGCGCTTTTGTGTTTTTTCACAATGTTGCAAATGTTTTTGAAATCAAAAAAATAAACACAGATATAAAAAAAAAGCGGGTAAGTGCAGTGGGGTGGAGTAGATCAGCGGTGATAGAAGTTTGTCCATCGTCATTTCGGTCCTCTGACAGGATAGTGTATTATTATAATATTCGATTTGAATGGAATGATTGCATTTGATAAAAACCGATTCTGAGCGGACGAAAGAAAATGTATGAATCATAAATATGTATATTAATACGTCATCATTAATTGTATATAGGTAATGGGGCTCAGGTAATATTTAAATTTTATTCGTTTCTGTGGTGACCAACAAAGCGTTAGAAAAATAAATTTTGGTGGTTTTTCCCGTGGGGTTAAAACTTAGAAATCAAAAATGACCTGTCTAAAGTACCATCTTGATCCAATTGCTAAAAGATAAGATACTATATGTTGAAATCGAACCACTCCTTTTGGGAGAAATTTTATTTCGCTCCGATCAGAATCTAATATATAATATAATATATATTATTATAGGCCACAATATCTAATGTGTGCGTTTATGCGGACTTTGATAAAAATAAATAAATAAATAAAAAATGGATTATAATAAAATAAATAAAATATACTATCGCAAATAAAACAAATATAATTATTTTCAATCGGTTTGTATAAATACTAATAAAAAAAAAAAAAAAAACGATATTTTAAATAGTTTATTATTTACATGAAATTAAAAGTCGGTACAGGTATAAAGCAAGAACTGAAGTGCCTTTCCTCATGCATTTCTAAGCTTTATTATTGCACGAGAGCCAATAACAGACGCTTGTAATCCCCAGAGGTGTCGCCCTAAAACAAAACCTCATTAACCGATGTACGATACAGCATAAATATTGGTATTGCATTTGTATATTATATTATATAGTTGCACAACAATGTAGGTACATGACTATCATTTGTCGCCACGCCCGTCGAACAATGTAGTAAAACAACAACTATAATTCGATCGCGTGCATATAAAATCATCAAATTATACTTATAATAATAAATTCAAACGTCACATACATATATTGTTGCACAATGATAAAAATAATACAATTTGTATATTCTTATTATTATTATGTTATTACATTGTATATTGTTAGATAAAGATTATTAAAATCGGTGGGCAATATGGGTTATGCGCGATGTTATAGATCTTGTGTTTATGTTATATAATATTATTTTAATATATGACTATATTTTTATGTTATGTAATTCCTGTCTGTATAAACTTGGACATATTATTATTATTATCATACACTGCAGTTGTCTATTTAAACAATTAAAACTGACAAAAAGGATATTTACCATTGTGATATTAATATATAGGTAATATACATAATATATTAACTCGATCTAAAAAAATTAACCATCGGTTTTGGTTTCTTCGTTCGCTAATGGGGCCATATTAGCAGTGTACGTGACAATATGACTATATTGTCAATTACAGAATTTAATAGCTTTGCTCCATAGTATACTACATAGATCTGTGTAGAGATTGTTCAATGGTAAAAATAGCATTAAGGAAAAATGTAAAAACATAAATACCTACCTAATATTGTCTTTTAAACCGCCGACAATGCGGTAGCCTTTTTATTTAGATTACCAACAAAATATATATTTTATTGTATTATGTGTACCTATCGATCACTGAACTGCGTAAGTAGGTACTGTTATGTAAATAGTGACAGTTTTTAAAATGAAAATTATATTTCCATTGAATCGTCATTTGAAAGACGTGCGTAAACAAATCGAATATTATACAATTATACTATAGGTGTTAGGGAAAATTTGTATCCATTGTACCCGTCATTTCAAACATAAATATAGATTCTAGTGGATTTGAAATTAATATTAATAACCTCAGTTAACTGATTTCGTTATTGACACGTTCGACACACAACAAAAATCTCATTGTTATAATACGATTTGTAATCTCATCAATAACATAGGTAATAATAAATACCTAGCTAACAATATGTTACGACCAAAAAAACGACTCGTATTATAGTCGGTCATGTACAGTTACGGACGTCTATAATAATTTGCTCGTTTTAATAATAGACAACTGCAGCGGCCGATAGCCACGTCGTGCCGAGCTACATATTATTATAGGTACTTGTGAAATGTCCAGTTTTATGAAATAGCAAGTGCATAATAAAAATATCATAAATTATTTTATAATACTATTATTATCAGGCGTACTCTAGGCACCGTTTGTTAGCTATATACTTTATACGAGCGTGTGTGTGATAATATGAATATGGTATACTGCTATAACCATGAATTAAGATACGTTGAGATATATTATCTCAATTCATGGTTAGAACACACATACCTATGTGTATATAATAATATTATTTTATTATTATATTATATTGCACGTTAATTATGGTGACTTACGGCGATTCTGTCGGCCAACGGAGTACCGTAAATGGTCTCGTAGGACTGTTTGATGTCTCCCAAATCGATTTCAGATCTGCCCACGATGATCCTGATCAGCTGACGGTCGCTGGTGCCGAAGCCCGCCATCGAAGCTTCCAACTGGTCGGCGTAGTAGTCGCTCTTCTTCTTGGCACTTTTCACTGTACAATGGCAACATTTTAATTTACCGATAAAATAGCTTGTAAAGGGTAGGTATTATAAAGCCGAAAAAACTTCGAAGTTACCAGCTACCGAGAGAATGGGTAATCATTTAAATATATTTATAAATATTATATATTAGTTATTTCTTATTGTAGGCTGGTAGCGGGGAGAGAGAAAACACTAACCGATGGTCAAAAAGCCGTGTTCCAGAGCTCCGGAAGTTTCGTTCTTGATGGTCTCTACGATGTCCTTGCCAGTGAGGTTCTCATACTCTTCGAAAATGGCTCTCAGCTGTGGATAGGAGCGAGTGGCCAAAATCGAATTGAAAGTCGACTCGTCAGTGCCCCATTGAGCTTCACCTGGAAAATATAAACGGTGTGTCAATACTCAATATATTATATTTTATTTTTTTTTAATTTTATTTATTCTTCAAGAAGACAATATGGCCCACTAAACATGTTCGTGTTGGGGGAAGGGGCATGAGTTCACAATTTGAAATATAAATTCATTAAATAGTTCATATAAATATTATACAGATATACAACCAACCTACCTACATATAATAATTATTGAACACACATATATGCAGGGCTTTATAAGTTTTTTTTAATTAACTATACTATTTACTTATTTACTATTGAGAGCTCAACAATCGTAAGTGTAAAATCAGGCTTATTATAAGTTAAACAAATTATAACCATGATGCATATCACCATTAGTAATTGATTCGTACAACCCACACTAAACAAAATACTTTATTGTACATACCTAGTGTGTGTTATCTTACGTTTTAGAAAAGTCCTAAGTACCTAAATATATAGTACTATATAGGAGCATGTGCATAAATATGTAAGTTTATTATATAATGCATTAATGCCTATAGAATAAAGTAAAATTAATAAATTATAATTGGTAAAAACGTCTCTGCGTCACTGAATTAAGTAGCATTTATCAATCATTCATTAATTTTGATTTCATTATTATTATTAATTGTTTAAAATCAAAAATAGTATTAACATAGGTACCTGCGTCGATTAGAGCCTGGGCGTCTGCGACTGCGGCGCTGCGATCGACTTCCACGTCTTCGTCGCGATTAGCCTATAAAACGTAAAATTTTAATGATTAGTGATTGTATATTATAATATTGTGGTCATATTATTATCATTCGAGTAGTTAATATAAAAATGAAAATTACAAAATATCTTTGCTTTACACGTAATCATCAAATACACGTGTATTGACTAGAAAACTATAGTTATCCGCGCGATGCCATGACCACTGATCGATATTGCTATCCTTTCTACTTGACCTAACCGCACTAGAAACTACGATTCTGCAATGTAATTTAAGTCTGCTCTTAACACCAATATATTATTATAAAATATATGTACGTTGCCATTATGCCCAATCGTTTTGCATATACGTATTAGGTACATATAATTCGATATTATAGTTTGACTGTCGAACTTGTGTCGGTATATTATAAAGTATATATAAAGTATATTATATATATTATATAATATATAAAGTATTATAAACGGTGATATCTTATGAAATACTTACCACCAAGGAACTTAACACTTTAACCAAATCAAACCGATAAGATACCTATGTAAAATACAATTTAACCAGGACTTAAATACATTTTTTATCATTATCCAGTTTAACTGTGTATAATATCGCTAATCGAATTTCGATAAAGTCACTATGAGATTGCCTAGAATTTTTTTACTCTAATACTTGTATTGGCAATCTATAAAAATAATTTTATAATTTTTGATATAAGTTTGTGGCTAAGCCCGCATCCGTAAACTTTTTACCAAACAATTTATAAAATGGTATAGTCTACTGAAGCATTATAGTATTATACCTGAGTAGAGATAACGTTGATATTGTATTATTAGGTATTAATCTGTTATTGCGTTGTGTGCACGATGGATAATAATATATCAAACGTTATTATTCAGTTTGTCTTACAAAAATAGTTTTTATCGATGTCTAATACATATTAAGATCGTTACTTACACAGCACAAAGAAACCAGCAATCTCTGGAAAGATCCCGAAGTGTCGGATTTCAAATCGTCTTCCAACGAGTTTCCGTATTCTGTAAAATGATAGGTATGAATAAATACGAAGTTTAACAGCTGCGGTGGTGTCCGAAATTCGACTAAAGGTTAGCACTAATAATATATTATTATTGTTACGTTTTTCGTAGACAGAGGAAATGGTTCGGACTCCGAAGTTGCTGAGAGTGCCCAAAATTTCGGCAATGGCCTCTTCGTCAGTGCCTACGCCACTGATGGCGTCTTTTAATTCCTTGGCATAGAACTCCGGAAGTGGGGTCATCAGAGCGACGATGGCGTTCTCGAAGTTCCCACCGAGTTCGCTCTTCAGATCGTCGATTAAATCCTGCATGGCAAAGAAGCGTACGTTATAATTATTTTTTAAATACATTCCCTTGACAAGGTTACGATAATATAGTACACACAGATATAATATATAATATATCATAATATAAATGATGCATTGTGTACGATGCGTTCTTGAACGAACTGGTTGCGATTATATTATTATGTGGTAAAAATACACCAGGCATTTGGAAAAACAATAGAAATTATTGTATGCTATGCCGTACCATAGATAATATTATACTGACTACTTTAAAACAATTTAAATTAAATAATTTGATATTTTGTTGGAAAAATAGCATTTATCTTTTTTCTTAACTATTCAATTATTTATTATAATATACCAACGCATTTCAAATTAAAATATTTTCTACTTAGCGAATATTTGAAGAAAAATAATTAAGTTAAAATTAAAATATTATCTTCTTTTGTGCATATTGTGCTACAGTATTATAATGGACATATTTCATATTTACATAATTATAATTTCAATTTCAAAGTCTATAACGCAAGTGTAACATTGATAATTATATATGATATTTGATCAGAAATTGTTTAATCTCAGATAATTTTAATTGTATCATTATTAGCGATTCATTAGTAGTAGTTACATTTATTTGAACTTTTAATTAAACGGATTTTGTCTTAAGTTCAATAATTAATAATGCTGTATAATCACCATGCAGTATCTTTATAAATGTATATATTATCAATAGAAAAATATAGCTGTACGATTTTGATTTAATTATAGATAGCATCCACAATAATTATATCTATTACATTTATTTTATAGTATAAAATATGTTATATGTTTAACTGATACTAAATTATTGATTTGTAATATTATATTTTTGAAAATTGAAAAGAAGTGTGATATCTGATGAGATGGATTCATCAAGATATATCAGTGTTTTTATATCGATAATAATAAGTACCAATAGGTATCTCCTAGTTTTTACCTAATACTTAGGTTATTTACCTAATACCTACTTAGGTTACTATATAGGTACTAGGTACTAGGTACTTACAATTATTTTTATGCCAAATTCGTTTGTATTAAATTTAAATTTGTAAATTATGAGTTATTCGTAGCTAATTAAATTGTAATTTTTTTTCAGGACACTAATATATTATATAGCACGATAAAATCTTATGTTTATTATAGTTTTTAATAATGAAACCATTAAATCAATGGTCTCATCAGAAAAATAAGAACTAAAATGTATTTAGCTTCGTTTGGATTTCAGATTCAAAGTGTAAAAAAAAACACACGCATATAATAGGTACATATTATCATGTTTTACGTGATCAAAATGATAGATAAACTGTACATTTTTACAAAGAAAAGGGGGAACAATAGTGACGACTAATGGGTAAATTATTTTACAGACTACTGCATGGATTGAAAAAAATATATAATACGAGCTATGCAAAAGTTCAAAATTGAGTGCCTGACGATTAAAATACCTTATTGATTGGAATATAATTAGAAGGTGTGTGCTAAACTATTTTCAAAAAAAAGAAGAATAGCTTCTCCTTCCCCCTTTCACCGATTCAAGCATTATACCTATATTGGCTATCACGCATGCCAATACTATTATATTTGAATTTCGCTATAGGTAACGCTATAGAACATAATGTTCTATGGTAACACCAATATATCACACGGCAGCTGATTTCTAGCCTACCTACTTAAAAATAATAAATATTTATTGTGTATAGGTACACTGTGTCGGTAAACCTATACTACCATATAATAGGTAAACAAATAGGTACCTATATTATCGTCGAAACAAAGTGCAGTACACGTCGTACAAAAGCTTATAACAATATTATCAAATACAGTTTAATATCTTCGCATAAACTACGCATAATAAAATAATTGCAATGCACACATCGGCATTCTTTGATTTTGTCACATTCATTGGTTTTCTATATTCATTCATCCACTAAAAAATTTACATTATTTCAATAACATACGATTTTCTGTACCATTAACTTTACGCGCTGCAGCATAGATCATAAACGTGCCGAGAGTCAAAAGCTGCTCCGCCTGGACACGCCTTTACACCTAGGTTCAATTTTTTTTGGGGGTGGTGCACTCCTACATTAACGAAAGTCAGCCAAGACTACTCACATTATCGCAGAACACGCAACTAACCAATATAATAATTATTAATAAACTGAAGTGCATGATGTAGTATGTACTGCTATTATAGTGGTGATACTATTATATAAAAGTAATAATTATCATTGTTGTTCATTGTACGTAGGTACCGAGTATATATTATTATTAATAGTAGGTATCTATTAAGGTATATAGTGTTTATTGTGTGTTTTTTTTTAAACATTTTTTAAATGTATTTAAGGTCAAACCAACCGCTAGATATTTCTGATCGATTGTACAAACTATGCCTGTGCACGCAGAACTATCAGCGAAACATATAATTTGAACGTCCCACATAATATTATACTCTCCACGTCGTACTATGATGAATAATGTCAAATAAGTAAACGTAATTTTAAGAGAAGTCACATAAACTTTCTCCAAAAAATAGTAAACCACGCAGCATCTCGACGCTCTCTCTTTGGTGCATTCTTGTTATAATATATATACATATTTGTTAGAGAGAGAGAGAGTGAGTGAGAAATAGAGGGTATCCACTTTATTATTCAGTCTTCAATATATTTATTATTTATTACCTTTCCGTAGAGTGTCTTGAAAGCTTCTTTGATCTCCTGTCTCTGAGTGTTGGACCGTCTTGCCAGCACGTCGATGATGGCCTGCTCGTCCGTACCGAATCCTTTCATGGCTGCCCTAAGTACGGCGGCGTCAGCTTCGGCGTCGAAATCGGCTGCCGGGCGGACCGTGGGAGTGCACTGCACGAGAAATACAAACAAAATTGAGTAACAATTCGAGGTGAATAAACCGCGTAGGTAACCTAACCGGGTCATTGGGACTGGAAATATTTTTGGATCTTGACTACTGAGCTGGCGAGCTCAACAGACTACGTTTCTGCGGTAGTAAAATACCGTATATTGTGCCAATTTCGGTTAAGAAAAAGCGAGCTTGTAAATATCGCAAAGACCGAAATGGAGCGAATTGTGATGATGATAATAATATTATACTATAATAGACTTACCCTAGTCGTGTAGTAAGTCATTTTGATATCGGATGGTGTAGTGTTGCCGACGGAGTTCTAAAACCAAAAAAATAATAAAAATGAATAAAGCGTAGACGGTAAAAATGTATAATACTATATAGGTATGGGTACCTACATAATAAAATATATTAATTTATATCGTATAGGCAGTTAACCCGTTGACTGGCCGGCACAAACTGAGTGCATTATAATGTTTGCCGTCTGTCGGCGTATAAAATTTAGCGTGAGTCATCGCGGCGATGTAAAAAAAAGAATAAACGTGATGATATTTTGCCACAGGCGATTGCGCCGCCTCCCCTCTCCGAGTAACGCATTCTCGACGTGAAATAGTAGCAAAATATAATAATAATATGCACTATCTGCCATATACGACGGTTCTGATGTGTATAGTAATAATACCTATAGTGTATTATAATATCGTATACGTGCGGTTTTTATTCAATGAGAGGACCGCCGCTCCTAAATCACAAATTTATTTTTAATTGATTCGTTCGGTGTGTGCAGCGTTTATTGTATTCTGCAGAGGGCTCGTTTGTGTCGTGGACGCGTTATTGTGCGGCGTTTAGTTGATAGGAATTCAAAAAATGTGCGCCCATGTCCCGGATAACAACAATAGTGTTTAATTTAAACGACGAATGATTCTGAGGCACTTATTTTTGTGTGCATTTTTTCAAAACCCTAATAAAATCAAACATCAGAACGATAATAATATATTCAGATTATATCGCACCGCCGATACCACTTACAGCATAATGATGAGTCGCGTTCTTTGAGAGTGTCATATATTACATAAACATTATATACAATATATTATAGTACGTTTTTCGAAATAGTATTTATTGAAACATAAACGTGACGGTGACACGCTAGAGAAACGTAATTTATTATTCATTTTAGATGGAAATATCTTTCGTAAAGAGTTTATCACTATATTTTATTCACGAAAGTCGTTTGACATATCGATACAGTTTTTGGGCTGAATACGACTTTTTTTCTGACCGTAACCAATTTCGCTAGACCGATTTTTATCGTCATAGAAACGCAAATCAACAATACAAACGTAAAATTATCTATGATTCCTCAATTTTGAGGAAAAATATTGAGTAGTATGGCAGTGATATATATCATTATATCATATATATCAGTCATTATCATGTTATAAAATGTATCAAGTTGTTTTCCATAAATATCGATAAAAAATGTTTCGCCCTGTCCAAAACCTTACAAATGCGATATGAGGTGGTTCTCTATAGGTTGTAATTTTTGGCAGGTATTCACTGTAACCAAATAATTAAAAAAAATGTTTAAACATTTATTAAGTTATTTTGAAATTATAGAGTGAGCTCGATTAGTTCGAAGTTTATTGAAAATTGAAATGTGTAACCACTGAACTACACAAATATAATGTACTTATAGTATAATACCTATACGAATAAAATAATATCTTGAAATATTCAGATTATATACTCAACTGTTGACTACTCATGTAATAAGTATTTATATGTACCTATATGAAAACAAAATAATCTTTAAGACTTGTTAAATGTCATGTGATATACCTATAAATTATAAAATTTATATGATTTTTTAAACTACAAGTAATATTTATCAACATTTTATTCATTCAACATGAAATTAAATGTTAAGACTGCGAGTTATTTCCGGTGAATTTATATCATAAAAAATATTATGGCAAAAGGAAGCGGTAATCGCAAATCGCCTCATCATTGCTCTCTTTTTGAATACCTACTTTAAAACGAATTTTATACGGTTAATCAGCTTTACAATTTTGTAAATGCTAATTACGATACCTATGTGGTAATGTGGTATGATATTAGGCTTATGAGTTAGTCATCTGTATTCATTAAAACGTTAACATTGGTATTTAAATTCTATAACAATAGTCAATAATAATTAGTCATATAAATAATTATAAGTATTTATAATTTTATCAAAATACATATTTGGTTTGACAAATATAAGCTCAAACCTATTATAAAATTCCCATTGATGTTTAGCATATCACTGTATAATATTATCTGAAGTATTCGACATAATATAAACACTTCACTAATACATAATAATATATAGGTAATATTACACAATTTGTAGTTTAAACGTTGATAAATATACATCAATATATAATAGCCAATATAGGTATACATCAGAAAAGAAACGTCATGTTTGGATCATCATCACCAGTTTTATTAGCACATACCTAAAATATTTGGTTGATGTACACGACGAAAGTTCATCTCATACAACAGTTCACTCCTGTTCAATCGTCATACTATATGAGTCGCACTTTATCAAAGCATTGCACGAAAAAAAAAAACGTTACGCGTTTTTTAGTATCCGATTAACGCAATAGTAGTTCAAAAAAGTATGACTCCATTTAAATAAAATGTTAATAATGTTTGGACCATCATCACCAGTTTTATTAGCACATACCTAAAATATTTGGTTAATATACCCGACGCAAGTTCATCTCATACAACAGTTCACTCCTGTTCACTCGTCATACTATGAGTCTCAGTATATTATACTTTTATCAAAGCATTCCACGAAAAAAAAAACGTTAAGCTTTTTTTTAGTATCCGATTAACTCAATAGTAGTTCAAAAAAGTATGACTTAATTTAAATAAAATATTAATAATAATATTGAAATAAAAAAATGATTCATCAAAAATATGCATTGATCATCAACACCTACAAAGGATTATACCAAGTCGCGTTGTGAGCTCATTAATCGAAAGTGAAATATTCTATTATTCATTCTGTACCTGTGCAGTACAAACACATATTAAAACGCAATGAAAAACGATTTTGCATTTAATAACGAACAATGTATGCAACTCATATGCTAAGTTTGAAGGTTGGACGTGTGTGGTAAATATTTATATATATTATTTCGTTCTATAGAAGAATATTATGGCTGTCCTTGGAAATACGCCAGTGACACAAACTCATAAAATACGCGAAGCTGTCGGTCCAGCTGTGGTACGAAATATACTTCGTTACACCAACACAACGACGAAAAAATTACGAGTATTTAAAAAGTTATAATTTTTATGGCGGTGAAAACCCGGGACCATATTATTATATAGTATAACAATATAATATATATTTTATTAGTAGATTAGTATCCAAAAAATATCATAATTTTTTTTAGTTAACATTTTGTTTCCAATTGCCTTAGGCAGTTAGGTCTTAGGTCAATAGTTATTATAATATAACTATTAATAATTATTGATTAAGTTTGAATTAGTCGTTGTACCCGCACAGTCATAAAGACAAATTAAAAGTAATGATTCATATTATATTATAGACCTATGGTGAACAATAATAGTTACTACAGGTAACGTTACTGCGTGTAATTAGTATCTTATTTTACAATATTATAATACATTAAATATCATAATATAGATTTAGACTTTTAAATCTTAAGTGATTATATTGAAGTGTATAAATATTAAATTTACAAATATTATTATAACTTTTATTTATATAATAGTATATATGTATAGGTAGTTATAAGTGTGACAATATTAACTATCTAAACTTTCGTCTCTATAGCTTTGTATAGAATACGAAACAGTTCTAGCAATGCCTATGAAAGTATTCATATAATCATATAATTAATATATTTCAGGCATTTCAGCCTTCAGAAATATCTAAAAGAACGAAAAGCTAAAAAAAAAACTAATTACATTAAACACTGTTTTGTTTGGCATCCATATTACAGGCTACAGTGATTTTCTGATAATTTTTTTTAATAATATTATGAATACCACGAACACTGGGGAAACTTTTTTATGATTTAAAATACATGTAGAGGTACCTATCTGGTATATAGTGTAAGTTTTTGTATTAATTAATTTAAAAATGCCATGACCCCATTACACTAATAACTATTACATCAATCGAAAGGGAAACATCGCTTTTAGATAAGATGTAGTATCAGTGGAAGAGTTCACAAATTATTGTACAATTTAAAAACATTCGTCTGAAATATTTTTGAAAATTCGACAATAACAAAAATTACCTAATGATCTACATAGGCGCACAAGCAATCATCTACGATACAATGTACGCATCTCACAAAACTGTAAAAATTAAAATCCTTATTTATAATTTATTTCTATGTAGATTGTAGGTACTTAAACGTTTTTTTTTTAGATACGAATTCGTGCAGTACTGCATCGTGGCGGCAATGACCAATCTACCTTGCACAATATTTAAGGTCAACGAGGATAAGAGAAAATGTTCCCTATGTTTCGTGTAAGCGTGAGTCAATCTATCTACTCATACAAGTGTTACAACGATAAGACAGTCTGGAATAGGTAAACAGGTATTTACATATTGTTAAAATGACGTGATCGAGAAAAGTACACGCAAAAAGTTAATAGTATAATATTATTGCCAACATGACCCTGACCGTGACCCTCAATCGGCTGTGTTCAAATACAATAATATTATATAAGTCCAGATACGGACGGCATATTTTAAAATGTCATTCCGCAGCACACGAAACAATAATACGTATTAATCTCATAAATCACTGCGATATTTTGAATTTTCTCAACCATAAATTTATAAATAAAATTACATAACATATTATTATCGTTTTAACATTATTATTATTATTTAGATAATATATCTGTGTACTCACCTGAAGTAGGATTAGAGCCCGAAAATTACACGTCGTTTGTGTGTACACTGTGCCGAACAGAAGAAGACTATAATAATATTATAATAATAATATTGTATTGTGCGATCGTTCGCCCGCAACGGTGCCAGACAGACTGCTTACAGGCCGTAACGCTGTCGCCATTCGTCGATCGATTTTTATTTTTGTATGCTCAATAACATACCATCACGGACCGTCCCGCATTACAGCGGTGTTGTTTACGATGTGATTAAAATGTAGAACACTTAAGTGATAAGCAATGTTGGGCGTAAACATTACGTTTGAAAAGTAATAAAATTACGTTTCTCGTTTCATTAAATATTTTTATTTAAATTACATTCGCGTCACCCGACATTGTTTTTATCACGTTACATTACATTTTTAATTCAAAAAGTAGAGCGTTAAAAAAAAAAAAAATACAAAATCACTCCATAATAAAATACACTAATAAGTAGTAAGTACCAGTGGCACACACTCGAAAATAAAAAGTGGTAGCATATTGAACCAGTTACCTCTATATTGGATAATAGGCTAATGGTTATCGCCTATAGATTATAAAATAGTTTATTTTTAATGTTTGTATAAGTAGTAGAATTTCTATGATGTATATATTTTCGAGCTGGGGTTCACCCACCCAACCACCAAAAAATCAGGGGTAGCAGATGATACCCTTGAACCCTGCAGTGTGCGCCAAAGATAAGTACATTGTTAATGTTATACATGAGCAAAATGTATAAGTATTAATTCTTAGGATCTTTTAATAATATTGTTGATTATTATTTATCATCTAAAACTTTCGGAATCGTAAATACATTTTATTGATTATTAATTTTTCTTGAATATCCTAGTCCCTAGTTTTTGCCATACATTCTACATAGGTACACAACTTACTTTAATAACGTGGAAAATAACACCTAACTCCATAGAAGTATATTACTTTTAAAAAGTAATTTCGTTACAATTGCGTTAATTTAAATCAAATATAATGAAATTACTATAGCGTTACTGCAAAAGTATAATTTCCTTACAGTAATTTGCTTTACGTTACTACCCAATATTGGTGCAGAGAAGTCTTTGACGTTTTCATATCGACATCGAGAACGTTTATGATGATTCAAATAAGTCATAATATAATATACCATTTTTGGATTTCGAGCAAAGCGAAGCGCTTGTGTTTGTGTGGGGAGGGGTTGAGATTAATAGGATTGTTTTGATGAATTTCAACTAAAGTATAATGCAACTCCTCTCTAAAATTGAAACCGAACAATGGTTTGACTCTTATAGCTTTTCGAATTTCCCAAGAAATTGTCGAGAGTTCTGTCTGTCACGTCGTTCACGAGCGTTTTTGATGTGCCACTTTATTAACTACTATACTATAATCGTGTTCTTTCCATCTATGTTATCTTTTAATTAGGTCGAATCAATTCCTATGAGACTTGCTTGTATTTTCCAATCATTTTTTCTGTTAAAACTATCGGGTCAATTCTCCGGTTCTATTGCTTCGGAATTAGGTAACGTTATATGCAGTGGCGTGGCGTGGGTATTAAAAAGATGTAAGCAGTGACATTTTTTTTTCAAAAGTGATTAGAATATAGGTACTATACCTAAATACCTAATTTTAAATTATGTATAAAAAATATTATCATTTTAAAGTTTTTAATATTTTTAAAAATATACTAGTTGTACAAATCAAATTCGAGAAAATAAAGAAATTGAAGTATAAATACGTCAAAAGTCTATTAGGCAAATGACACTATGACAGTGACAGTGTACGTAAAAACGACCTCAGTCTACAAGACCGTCTGGTCGCTCCTTGTTTCTCGCGTAAGCAAAATCAAATGTGCTTATAAACGCTAGTTAAATACGTGACCCCCACTATGGCATTATAGACTATTCGAAAACAACAGTTGCGCGTAAGCAATTTCAGAATGTGTTACACTGTATAACGTATTATGATTATGCAGTTAACATAATACAGAATGGATTAAAAATAGACCTACAATCGATGATTTTCTTAAAATAGTTGGTAATCAGTAGACAGCGTACGACACAAATAAACAATAAAAAAAACCACTACCAGCTATAACTTAAATATTTTATAAATAAAATTAAAATTTTAAAAATCATTTATTATGTACCTATTAGTCGTGATTGATCAAATTTATTTTTTCTTTAATTTAAAGTGTAAGCAGTGCTTACAGTGCTTACATGCACGCTACGCCCCTGGTTATATGTTTCAGTAAGTATAGTATTTTCTTCACGGAGGATTTTGTAGTCACTGAAATCAATATTTCAGGGAACTTTTTTTGTCGTGTTTAGCTACAGCCAAGTTTTTAGTCTTCTTTATTTCCATAATATATATTTTGTGACCACAACTTTGTAGGTATTTACCTTTATTAAACAATACGTGTTAGTTATTATAATATATTATAGAACGTATTGAACGATTAATTATTGTCCTTTATAAATATAATATTATAATCTTTTTATAACAAAAAAAAGCTCTAATAACAAAAAACAGTTTAAAAATTGTTTTCCTACAATGACCTGGTTTTATTGCATATAGAACAATGCTAGTTTTTTCATTGAAAATTGACTTCCGACTAAGAGTTATAACTCATACCGATACCACGTTTACTATTTAAAAATAATATTATGTTCATCTGTCGTATATAATAACTAAAATAATGAATTTTAATACTCAAACCTGCCGATAATACCAATAACCATATAACACATTATTTATTATACATTTTCTATTGAAATATTATTCAGTGTTCTTCTGAATTCAGATGGCTTAACTATATTACTAAAAATAAGTTAAATCTGTAATATAACTATTACGCCATAAAAACAGAAGTGAACAAAAATCTTTGTATAAGCGCACGTTATTATAATATTTTATATTTGGGAATATTGTAATTATTAGGAGGAACAAGTGAAAACGCCGTGCAACTCGTCGAATATTGCAAAATGTAGTTTCTACACACGAATGTATTAAAATTGCCTATACAAACCGCCGTACTTGAAAACGTGTTACAATAAATTTTAATAAAAAGTATTAAAAACCATATACAACAAACCAGCTATTTAAACATCAATGTTCGTTCAGTCTTAGGTGTTGTTGTTATAAGTAGAATACAAATTACTTTCGTTGAGTTAAACACAATATATTTTTATTTACATAAATATTTACAATATTATTTCTATAATATAAAAAAAACCTATAAACTAACTGAAAGTCACATAATATATACACATAGGTTCAGCATTAATACTGATCAGTTTACAAGTACTACGAACTTTCGGAATAAAAATAAAATAAAACAACGTACAAATATAAAAATATTAGACGGACAACATAATTAAGCTTACTTACATTAACTTTTAGTAAATAACATGTAATCGTTTCTATTAAAATAATATTATTATAAATACAAAATGACTATATAAGTATGAACACATCAAATAAAGAATATTAATTTGACATAATATACCTATTTTACACAATAAAAATATTGGTTGGTTTTTTACAAGTCCTGTGTATTTCGGGAATAGTCTGATAGTAAAAACACTGAGATCGTTTTTGTTCAGAATTTAAAGGTCTCATCTGAAAATTAAAATAAAACACATATTCAATATAAATAATTATTCAATTATCTTTAATCCAATAAATAGGTAATATTTATTAAAAAAATTTATACTGGAACTATAAATATTATGGAGATCTAATACTAAATATTTTTAAACGATTGTGGTAAGTTAAATATTTTATCAAAACGTCAATGTAAAATATATAATAGTTTAATAGTGATCGTCATTAGTTATTCATTTATATTAAATAGAAGCATAATTACAAATCTCGTTATGTACTCACGGGATATCAAAAGTATATTTGAAAGACAGTTTTTGTGGCTGTTACCGACATGATTGCCGTTGTATTTTCGAATAATTGTCTGCACAGTTTTAACCGACGTTTTTGGGTGACGGAATATAAAACTATGCGTCGGTTTAAGACGTTGCCAATAATGCGATGAATAAATAATAATAATTACCAAACTATAATATTGAGTTAATCAATAAAACAAAACAATTATTGAACGGCTTCCTGCAACAACCAGGCAAGTCCATATATAGAACTATATATTTTAAAATTGTTCAGGGTGACCATTTAAAAATTCGTTATCCCGTCTATCACCACGGAAAATAATATTAAATATTCTCCACAAAATTATTTTTTCTTTAGATCCACATATTTTATTTTTCAACACCACACGCGCATTACACATGTCCCATACAATAACCTTAGTAATAAATTTCTAGTTTTAAAATATTACGACATATTACTATACCTCTCCTTGGAGAAAAGTGGTCACCTCGATTTCTGGTCGCATGACCGCCATTCGTATGGCGATGTAAACGCATGCCGTGCCCGAGACCACAATGAGTCCGATGCCATAGACGAGTAACATCGTGTGGTTGTCTCCGCTGTAGGTATCTATGGTCATGGCGTTCAACTGGTAACCCCACACCACTATGAGGATCAATAGCGACACCGGCAGGCAGACGTCGGAGAGAATACTGAAGGATATTTCATCCTGCGTCAAAGAAATAACACCATAAGTAAATTTCTTAAATAAGTAATTTTTTTTTGTTTTTAATTATATGTAAAATGTTTACTAGGATATAGATAAATAGATAGATTTATTGACACCAAATTAAAATTGTAGTAAGTAGAAACATATCATAATATGAAACAAGAAGACTATAGGTACATTAAATATACATTGGTTCTCCATTTAAAAGCGGAGCTTGTGCTGAAAAGAGAGGATATACCTAATCGGTATTATGGTATATCGATGCGTATACTGTATAGTTACTAAGTAAGTATGTAAATAAACCGTTCTGTTGCCTACCTAAGTCATTTGACATAGGTTATTAAATAGTAAGAATATTGTTGATTTCGGAAGATCAAGCAAACAACTCAGGGACGATAACGTTAAAACAAGATACAATGTATAAATCGAATCTTCATAAACGATCAACAATAAAAAAGTAGGGTGGTCGCAGTTGGATATGAACATGATAATGGAATAAACGATAGTGAAAATCGAAGTGATATTGTATTTATGAGCTAAAGTTATTTATGAAAGCTGGTACAGTAGGTTACCAGTGGGTCACTGTATAATGGATGGTATTGAATTTGAATTCAATGATATAATATCATTGTATAAGAAAAACGATTCTGAGCGGAGACGGTATGTCAGTCTAGGTATAAGACATATTATAAACTTTTCTATGGTATTAAAATGATATTGACCAAAGACGTATTTTTGGCCCAACAGATAAAACTTTATTAATATTTATAGAAAAAAAAACTAAAAAAATTTAAAACTGTAAATGTCCTTAAACAGCTCAAAGAGAGTCAAAATAATTTCAAAATTGTATGGTGTATAGCAAATTCCAATATAAACAATCAGTGAAATTTTCATGTATCTACAGTATTCGTTTTTGAATTACAACAAAATAAGGAAATATCTACATGAGAAATCGAGTGAAATTAAATGTTGTAAAAATTTGAATTTCAAACGCTCATAGAAAATTTAATTTGACTTTCTTATAGGCATTTTTTTTTTTTTTGATAAAGGTAGATAATCTTATAAGGAAACTTGTATTACATTTTAAAATCTTAGATTTAAAAAGAAAAATTTTTACGAATTCTTAACTCAAAATAATTTGCTAATTTTCGTGATTTTTCCATATTTTGTCAATTTTTGAACTTTAAATGCTTATAAAAAAAACTGACTAAGGATTTTTAATATTTTTCATCTGTCTTTGAAACAATTTACTAGGAGCCTTCTATTACATTTTAAAGCTTTTTTAACCAGAAAATAACATTTTATTGATATTATTAGAAAAAAAAAATAAAAATGGAAAATGAAAATGTCCCCAAACAGTTCAAAATAAATCTAAATATTTTGAAAATATTTTTACTCTTTTTGAGCTGTTTACGGACATTTACAGTTTTCATTTTTTTATTTTTTTTTTTCTATAAATATCAATAAAGTTTTATCTGTTGGGCAAAAAAGTTCAAAAATTTAATACAAGGCTCCTGATATATTGTTACAATATCAGTTGAAAAATATTAAAAATTCATAGGCACAATTTTATTTTATAATAATTGAAAGATCGAATTTTGACGAAATTTATCAAATTTAAAATAGAATAATTATTTTGTAGTTAAAAATTTATAAAATGTTCGGCTTTTATATTATCTAAGGATTGAAAATTGAAAACAAGATTTCACGTAAGTATTTAATTCTGTTACCAAAAAATCTAAAAAATACAGTTGGAAAGTTTATTTTTATAGTCATTTTAAGTTCAAATTTGGAGGAAATTACATAATAGAAAACCTAAAATAACTGATTTAGTTACTTTGTTGTGATTGTATAATATTATTCATGGGTATTTGAAACTTCTAAAGTACACTATTATATATCTATGATAGTATCAGGGTTTATTGTTGATGTATAACGCGTTACAAGTACTTATAATGGATATTGTGATATGATTAATTTGGAATTTATTATATGTACTTATTATAGGTCATTTTTTTCTTAATACCATATATATGTATATAATATGTCTTAAATCTAGACTGACATACCGTCTCCGCTCAGAATCGTTTTTCTTATACAATGATATTAAATCATTGAATTAAAATTTAATACCATCCATTATACAGTGACCCTTCTTGTAACCTACACTGTACAGCAGAGCACCTTTCTTTTGTATTATTATTATAAAACTGGGAACCCAAATATTGGACTGCTTTGAAATTACTTATTTTAGTACACATTGTTCACAACTTTTTGATTGTTTTTGCGATCTCATATTATGTTAACAAATTTATTACGTTCAAAGGTTAATTTAAAGTACCTATAAGTGTTGTTATTGCTACAAGTATTATTATCAGTATCATTGGTTATTGTTATTTTCAGTTGTTACGTGTGAGTTATCATGTACGATCTCTACTATAACAATTAATAATTTTAACTTCATAATTATATAACTTTCTAAACACACTGTTATCATATTATATTTTTTATTGCTTGGAGAAATACAGTTAATTATTGACCTTCGATTTAAAAATAAATATTTTTTATTATTTATAACTACATTAATTATAATAATAATATGGTGAATAAATTATATTTGTTTGTTTTTATTTTCAGTAAAATTAACAGGATGACCAAAATTCCTTATAATAATATTACTGCTTCCGTATTTATAACAAATTGTTATTCTCTTATTGGGTAGAGAACGAAGCATAGGTATAAAGTTCATCTAAAATCATAAAAACTTAAATACAGTTTGTATTTGTATTGTACAAATTTCATAAAATATAATAAATAAGTGTTATTGTTTACGGGAGTAATGTAAGAACAACACAATTATTCTGTTTGTATATATTTTTTAATCGTAAGTCAATACATATATTTTAATATGGAATAATGCATTCAACAAAATAATTATTTTTAAGTTTTTAACATTTTAGAAAAATATGAACTGGCATTGAAAAATTATAAAACATATTTCTTCAACAAAAAATATGTTTGTTCAATCACGTACCCGCCTATATTGTATACTTGATAATAATGCTAGTTTGATTTTTTTTTATTGGTACAAAACAAAATTTACAATTTCAAATAGTAATTGCAAGCAAAATTATCTTTTGTATCCATTTTTGATTCTTTATCACGGTTGGATTAGTTATCACAAAGGGCGTCATGCTGTTCAATCTTAATTGACAAAAAAATAAAATAGTACAAATGAACTAAAATCAATACAGAAAATACATTTATAAAATGTTGGTTTATATGAAGAATTACAAATTATATATTATTTAATATGTATTTATGTGTGCCAGTGACAATAATGAGGTGCATGTATATACAAACTGATATATATTACAAATTCAAGGTTATAATATAAAAGTAAAAATGTTTTCTAATAAAATGTCATGTTGTGGAGGAGGGAGGGGATAACTCGAACCACCCTTATTTTACGTGTTAGGTGCAAATATCAAAATATGTGACATTATTTAAATAATAATATAATAATATCACAATGTGTATACATATTTTCAGGATCTAAAATACTGTGTCCCTTGAGAATCAAAATGTGTCCCACGAATGACAAATATGTGTCAAATATTAATGTGTGAGGTAAGTGGTAGACAAAAAGAGGGAGGATTTTGGGTGTTACAATACCACCACAGGTTTTTTATGCTTTAGAAATCTGTTAAAGCCCAAAGTAACAGTTAAAACGATAAGTTTTCACATCGATTAATAAAACATCGTAACGAGCAACATTTAAAAGTAAGCGGCAGTGTCTAACAAAACTGTCTATAGATAATAATATTTAATAACATTATGTTTATCACAATAATTATTATTGTTTGAGCATTCGTGACTCGTGGCCCGTAGACGAGGATTTTAACACCGTCCTCGAATGCGTTAGCCCAGAGTTCCACCGTCAATATTATTAATTCTGCTGCCAGACATTCGGCATTGGTAATCGGTTATTGACGATAAACAAACATTTAATAAATATTATATATTGTATCACTTTATTATGCACAGCTGCGTTATAGGCATAATCACTATTAGTCTATACAATTAATTTGTGTTTCAACGACACGCGTATTCAAAATAATACGTATTGTATTATATATTTTTTTAAACTCTTTTGTCCGTCAGGTTTTACCTCCTCATGTCGCGTCATTGATAACGATTATGATAATATACTATTATGTATATTATATAATATTATGTAGTTTTATATTATTATATAGGTATATATAGTAAACACATGTTTTATCCGAGGTATTATTCCATTTATTCGTATTTTGTGAATGTAAATTAAGGTACATTATTAGCAGAGGTTAAATGGGGGGAGGGGACACACGAAGACTCAGTCACCCTACCTCGGATGGCCTTTAAAAAGCTTCCCCTTTAACAAATTAGGATTTTATACATTAGACATTATAAATAAAATTATATAGGCACGGAACGCTTAAAACTATACGGAGACATTAGTCCCCTCTGGAATTTTTTCCCACTTTAACCCCTGATTATTAGGTAAATTGTTATGACCAAGTTGCGAACCGTCGCCTACATCAGGCAGGACCGTTCTACATCTATTTGATTCATCCTACGTTCAATAATTCTTTAAACTTTTTAAAGGACAATCTAATTATTATATTTTCAAACTTTTCTCAAAAATACCTATTTATATTTTAATATTTCATTACTATTGTTATTTTTTTTTTAACTTTATCAATTCATCTTTAATCACTAATTGTATAGGTATATCATACGGTCTTATATATTTTATCATCTCTAGGGACATCTTGGATAGAACTAATAAAAGACATGGTTATAGCTTAGATCATACTTATATTCTATGACCATATAGTGACAGTGGATGTAGCCACAGCTCATTGTGAGCCGTGTCAGATTGTGCGAGTACACATTTAGTGCATCGACATTTTGTGTTTTGACAAATAGAGTATTACATATTGTAATTATAATGACTGTTGAAAATGTTGTAATGATCAAAAGTGCTTTGAACTACTTGGACATTATTAGTAATTTTAAGAAATTTATACATAGATACTCGAAAAAACTACTCAGGTTAATTTGGTCGATTCCTATTAGTAAGTACATAATATTCTACGTCTCATCCAAATGTATTGTCTTCGCCTTACAAGTGTGTAACGTATCAAACTTATACATTCGGCAGTTCTCCTCTTACTCCGTTAATGTTTAATATAATGGTGAGTTTACCTTTTATTAAACTTAAGAGAAGGTCGTACCAAAAAACCTACGAGAGAATACATATAATATTCTTACATTCAAGTTTGATAATAGGTTAATTCACTCTAATGGTTAAGCTAACAACACAAAATTGTAACCGCTGCAGGCCATACATTTTTATAAATTATGTGGTAATACGGAGAAAACACAGTATGTGGATACGACGTTTTCTAGGTAACTGTGGATAAAACGCTTGCGGAAGAAACCTTTTAAAGTTTAAAACATATTCATATTTAAAATCTCCCAAAAGCACAACTGAACCAGGTATACCTTAAGACGTATTGTTAGAGAATTTTAAAGGTACCAGTTTTCGATTTTATCTTTTATTTTTCACACAATATTATATTAGAGAGATAATACAACAACAACGGCCGATTATTCATATTAGAGTAATTTAAAATATTATAACATTTACAACTATGTACTTACTAGAAATAGTTGATATTTCTGTTTTAAACGAAAAACGAAATATTAGCATACCTATTAGCAATATTAGTATAAATTGTTTAAATAAATATGTGATTTTTAATGCAAGTTTTTACATTGAATTACTATTTTAAATAATATATTTGCAATGACATAGATTTAATAGAAGTTGCAGTAGATTTATTGTAAAAATAAGTTTATAGTTGACTTAACTTGACATTAAATTCGAATCTGAATGGCGAATTCAATTAAAATGGTATGTTACTAAACACCACATATACGTGTAGTTTTTAAAACTATTTTTAGAATTTAATGTATACATTAAAATTTATTTTGATTTCACCACTAACATACAACAATTGAAGATTTTTTTAACCTTGGCATTTAATTCACAACCTTTTATAACCAACAATACGGGAACTTCCATAAAAATTATGCAATTATAAATTTAAAATTGATCGCCAACTGAAAAATAGCGGACGTTAATAATAAAAATTATATTGAAATTGAACTATATTATATTAAATATAAAATGTATGCAGGTACACTACCTCTAAAATAATTTTTCTATGATCCAAGTATACGAGTACATAAGTACAATAATTAGATTTCAAGTGGCTTTTAATACAGAATATAAAATATAAATTTGTTATTGTTTCGTATAGTATAATTCTGTTTTATTTATAATTAATGTTATATTAATAATATGTTGTAAACTTGTAATATATATAAATGGATTTTTTATTTTAATTATAAAATCTACTCAAAATGGGTTATAATCATACAAATTAACATTTGAAATTATAAATTCACAGTTTGATTAAAGTGCATACCACAACGACAAATCACTGGTTATAAATATATAAATTATATTTTTAAAAAAATTTTGTTTTCTTGTAATTTACCAATCAAGTCATTTTAAATACTGCAACCAAATTTACCAAACCTTAACTCATGACCACCCGAAAATATAATAATGTACAGCACTTCATAGTAAGTTATATCGAGGAACGGTCACGAACATTTTATGAGATATTATTTTTATAGTTCGCAAAACACAAGATATTTTTATCGGTATGATATACTTAATAAGAATTGTTTTTTATTATTGACGTAAAACCAATTATAGATATATAAATGAAACCTGCAGGGTGGAACACGCGAAGGTAATGGCGTATTGTTGAAGTCTAACACGGTTTCGTGTTTATTATAATTTATATTAATATTATACATAGGTATAAAATATAATTATGGATATTGCTTACGATTATTATTATTATTATTATTCCTAACGGGTAAAATATCGTAATACTCGTATGGTGTGTACCCACAGATAATAGTGTGCTAGGCACAAATATGAGAGTACCTACCAACGTTATGATATCATATAAATATATAATATTAAATACATTGTAAAAATAATGATTATAATATGTACGTATTGTATATACGCGTTATTATTATTGTTAATCGATGTACGCACTTTTTTCAGGTCGTCGAGTGCAGTGTGATATTCGTATTCCAACAGCTGCAACCTGTTGATGGCGAAGCATTCTGATTTCAGTTTGAGTCTGCTGTCGGGTCTCATGTCTGCTCTGGACGAATGTTCCGGGACTTTTGACGGAGGCGCCGCGCACTTTGGTTCAGAAGAGATTCGATGGATGTGCGTAAACCGTGATAATGCCGACAGTGCAGGACCCGCGTGCGTGCATCAGTTACAATATTTATATAAACATTCTACATACATATTATATAACATATATATGTATATGAGTGACAGGGTGTAACGGGACGACCTGAAAAATGAAATAACTTAATCAGTTCTAGTCGAAATTTAAAAAAAAAATTTCCCGTTTTGAACTCACGCATATCGTGACATTTCTTATTTTTATTTTTAATTCTGAAAATAAAAATTTGAAGTCCGATTGAAATCTTTTTTAAATTTTTGAAATAGCCGACTTGTAAGTATGGTTTTCAGTCAACTTTTTGATTGGAAAACCACTCATCCGAGTCGAGCGGCTTATTTTTCATGATTTTTTTCATGAAAGGCTCATTAGTTTGAAAAGTAATAACTTTTTAAAACATATTTAGATTTAATAACTAGTATACCTTTCTATTCAAAAATTCTCATAAAATATTTTTAAAAAGACGTATACATTTTAATTTTAAAGTGTTTTTTTTTTTCTACGATTGGATAAATTTTACCTGGCAAAAACAATGAGGTTTCAAAAATCAAAATAAACTACACGACTTATAAATTAAAGTTTTTCCAAATAATTTTATCCTTCATTGGTGAGGTCTTCCTGTTACACCCTGTACATCGCTGTATGTATATAACATTTTGATTGAAACGGCCGATAATATAACAAACGAGAATCTTATCGTCACGTGCATAATGATCGAGGCCCTGAATGGTTGATAACGACCGGGACATGTGATACGACGCACGTCAGCAAGCGTGATACATCAGAGCCGTCAAAATATTTACTTACAAAGCACCGCTGTTTACTACGTAGATAGATATATACTACCTATTTTAATTATACCAATAATTTATGCGATTAATTGTTATTACCCATCGGAATTGGACCGCACTTCGTGTGTAGTTAATAATAGATATATTGTACTATAGGTAATCGTAATAATATAAACTTACAACTTACGAGTACCTTACCTATATATGATGTAGATTTTCCGCGTGCTGGCGTAATTTTCGTCTTATATGACTGTTTGATTTGTTCTCCGAACTTTATATTATGCATTGCTAACGGGTAATGGCACATGATTTAATGTTTTATAATATTGTATAGTAATAGCAGCGCCAATGAATGACGTTTAATTTAAATTTAAAATATTAATATATAAAATCAATATCATTTTTAAAATTTTAAATTAAATTATAATCTTGAATAGCTAAATATAACTAATTTAATTTCAAAACCAATATTATTATATAAATATTTATAACACAATAAATTAATAATAAAATTATTATATAGGTGTAATACGTGTTATAGTCGTTCTTATTATTGCAGAGTATAAAAATACACGCGTATTGACCGGTTAACAATCATAATATAATATTATTACACCCAACAGTAATAATATTGTGAATGAATTACTGCGAAACAAACTGTGAATTTTAGTTTAGTAATTGCTAATTTTGCACACACGTGTAAACAAATCTATAGTACCCTCCCCCGCAGTACCACAGGCTACTGATCTTACTAGTTGCTCAAGCCTTAACCCTAATAAAAAAAAAATTACTAATTTTGTGTTCTATCTAAAAATGCATTGATTATATAATTAATAATAATAGCTCGTACTTAAATCATAATAATTTATTATGATATAAGTACGAAGTGCCTCTTTATTAAAGAGTCATATTAACATAATTTTGGTATTAACCGCATGATGGTATTATAATATTAAAATAACAATTTTTTATTTTTTGTAACCAATATTATAGTTATAAGGTTTCGGTTAATATTACCTCAAAAACAAAGTAACACATTATTACTGGTAGAAGTGTAGACATTTCATTAAAAATCTACAGATTTTCAGAATAAATTTAAACTGTTGAATACACTCCCTGAATGTTCCCAGAATTTACCTCCATTTCTCTGACGCTACTTGCACCTTTCAGAATTAAAGAATATGAGGCAATAAAATAGATATAATAAAAAATTATAAACTCAAAAATTGTCCCAAATTGCATTCGTATTTGGTATGAATATTTTTAAAATAATTATGTCTAAAAATCGCTTGTATAAAAAGATGCCCATTATTTTAATTGATTTGTTATAACGATCAAGACTTAAATAGCATCAGTAATATTATATTATATTAATAAAAAATTATTTTCATTGAAGTATAATAAGAATTTTCAGTAGAATAAATTTCCTTCCCAGGTCCTCATTTAATAAAATATGTGGGTGACGTAACTGAAATTTGTTTATCTCGTCTTCAAAAGAGTTCACTCCACCATACTTATACTTACGATATTAGTATCTATATGTTTAAAAACAAAGGTAATACAATATTTTTTAATAATATTTGTATAGTATAGTAGTAATGTAGTATAATAATAAAACGTAGACACACGATAAATATTATTCTTTTACAACGTAACAATGAGAATATAAAGCATTAAAAATATTGATTTAATTGGTGATATTTTGATGGATTTTATTAATAATTTACATTCATCTATTTTTAATTTAAAGCTTTTACAATACTTAGTCGAACAAATAATTTGTGTTGATTTTGCATTTGTACAATGGTACGATAATTATTTTTGAATACTAAATTGTAACAGAATAACCAAAATCAGTTACAATAAATTCGGGTATATAGTTAATACATTGAATGTCACCGATGTTTATTGGATATTGTTTATTAAAATTTTTCTCATGTCTAGAGAAACTAATAAGGAAATCGATAGCTATGATAACTGAGACTTGTTATCGCATTAGTTACTAAGTACCTAATCTAAGTAGTTATCTTTAAAGTACTAATACCAACTATATTAAATAGTACGGAATAATATTCTTGATTTTCAACCGAAAGATTGGATCATCTGCACATTAAACAGAACTATCCATAATCACGCTCACAGACCGTGCGAGTTTTCTTATAGTTAACTATTTCTACTATAATATTATATTCCTGGTTCTATAATTAATTAACCATAAAAAATCTTAATCATTAACTTGTCTATAAATGACGTCTTTGGCCTGTAGGTTATCTTTGTTTATAATATGATTAACACTTAACCTACGCAAGTTTATGTTTATGTTTAAATTTGTACAGTTGTCGTTAGTTGTGACCACGGTGTAGGTAAAATGTTTTACCTAGCTACATCGTGGTTGTGACAATATACTTAGGTGCACGCGAATCATTACGAGTGTCGATGACTGATGTCCGATCGATAGTGACTTTTTATTTTATCGAAGTACATTGGTCTGAATTCTGTCATTAGGGCTATGTTTTGATAAGGTAGATTATTGTATAAATATTTGGTTTATCCTAATACCAATCGAGAAAATTTTATCACACCATAAACATTACAATTTAACAGGGTGTTAAAAGTGCATATAGGCGAGTGTCGTTCTCAGCTCTTAATGAATATTTCTCAATATATTTTATTTTTGTAGTAAAAGAGTTGTGAGTACTTCATAAAATATGTCCAACGAACGCTCATTTGGTACGACATTATGTAGGTAATCGCAATACATTTTGAAATAAATATTTGTTTTTTTTTTTTTAACTTACCTAATGTCTAATCCGAGTCCACAACACAGATAGTTTAAATGTTTAATAAAAGGTTCTTCATAAGTTGTTCTTGCAGCAGCTTAATACCATAGGCGTGTCTACGGTGGCAGCCTAGGGTGCCTGGGCTGCCCTTGCAATTTTTGAAAGGTGCCGGTCAACCGAGTTTTAAATCAGAAGGGTTACAACATTTTTTTTTTTTTATAAAAACTTGATTTTTTTGTGAGGATCGTTATAGCTATCATTTACTTACAAAGATTGATTTCCCGAGTCCTGACTTCAGAAATCGGAAAAACCTACTGTAAAAACTTGAGACAGACGACGACGGTACAGAAGGATTTAGTTATTATTGATATTATTGTTGTATTATTTTTGATTTGTAGCTAAGAGGTGTAATCCGAGGCTGTAGATGAATAATATGTCTGAAGTTACTGTAGATTATTATTGTAAAATGTAAATAGATAATTTAGACTTTTTTTTAATTATATAAATATTTCATTGTGGAGGGGGGCTTGAAAAAATACGACTTTGGGTGTATAGGACTTTTTTCAGTTCACTAATATAAGGTAGCGCCGGTCATTAGCTAGGCTGCCCCTGCCGATGAAGTCTAGTCACGCCTATGCTTAATACATATCGAAAATACAATACTTAAAGCAGTAAATTATGGCAGGTTTGTTATGTAAAATTATAACCGTTATTCGTTTGAAGTACACAGTTTTACAACATTGGTATTTAAATGTAAAATAACGATTATTCCCCAAATAGATTTGAGTTATTTTGTTTCAGTTCAATAAATATTAATCGTACCTTGAAATGGTCTATACACGTTATAGAATGAAATTTAAGGGGGTCCGTGCAAAAATCAGACAATTCTATTCTTCAAAACTTTTCAGAAAGTAAAATAAAAACAATTACATTTTTTGGAGCTATCTTTTATTTTGACCAAAGCTTAGTGTTGATTATAATTTTCTCTTGGAGCTATCTTTTTTTTCATAAAATTTAAATCCAGCTGCACCTCCAAGGTTCCAAGTACGTTTTATGTATTTCCTATACGGATCCGTCTCGTTCTTGAAAACATAATATATTCTTGATTTTTTTTTCTCTATCATATAATATATATAATATTATTATCTAAATAGGATATTGGTAAATTTTGTAATAATATTTAATATTTATACTAATTTTATTCTATTTATATAAAGTTCCCGTTCATACCGCATTGTAGGTCGGTATTGATTTATAAGTTAAATACATATCATATAATATTTATTATTATAATATATTTTTGGCAAAGATTATAGATGCTAATCCAGCGGCTCTCGACGTTTTTATAACTGTATACCACTTACACAGTTTAAATATTTCCATGTGCCACTTGACCAGATAACATTTTTTTTTGCTTATCAAAAATGCATATACGTTATTTCCCGTGTACGGAATTTTATTTTATTAGGAACTTAATAATTATGACAATATAAGCTGAATTACTGAATGATTAAATTAATGCACAAACAAAAAAAAAAAATTAAATATGTACAATTATTATTTTGTTTTATGTTGATATCAAATCAACCAAATAATATTTAATGTGAATAACGATCCATTATAATTTTTTTTTTTTTGTAAAGGGAGATTTTCTTCACGTACCACCTGTGAGCTCTCCGTGTACCGGCAGTAGTGATACCACAGATCGAGAAACGCCGTGCTAATCCATCCGTCTCATTCATTCATAATATAGTATTTTAATTTATCAATGACTATTAAGTTATCATTGAGTTCAGATTGTGCACATCGATAATGGCAGTGACCTGCTCAACAACGATCTAGATATGTCGAGACCAACAACTGTACAGCAGAGCGAGTTCCCCGGTTTTGGCAACTGCATTATTAAACTATCATAAGCTATATACGATTTTGATTTATAGCTATTACCTACGTTCAGTTAAAAAATCCGTTCGGAATAGTTCAAACTTCAGTTTTAACTAAAATTATTAAAACTAAAATTTCGGAACAACATATTATTTTTCTGTACACGTTCAATGGGATTATCTAAGTTACAAAGTGCGTTTGACTAAATTATTGTTAATTACATCTACTGCACACGTGTTGTACACGTACTCATATGTTTACTAAGTTACGATAAACATAATACATTTCAATACATATACCTATATGGTATACCCAGACTTGGGTAGTATTCCTAATACGGTATTCGGAATACTTTTTAAATAGGTACTTTTTTTAAACTATTCAATACGGTATTTTGAATACTTTTTACAAGTATTCTGAGCATAGGCGTGTCTACGGGTCTTGCCTGTCATGCACAGGCATGACCTGCGAAATTTGATCTAACTTACATTATAAATTAAGGTACATAATAATATACACTTCTTTTCTTAGATTCTGATTTCATATTAAATTTTTTGATTTTCATTGTGAACTTTTAATATCTATTACAATTTATTATTGATAATGCTTCCCTTGTGGAACCACTTCTAAAACACTTCATCAATGGATTGATTTTCTAAATTAAAATAATAGAACTTGTATTTTTCTTCACTTCTATAAAGTAATAGTTCTTTTTACCACTATTCCGGTAACAACTTGTTCATGCGAACGTGCATTTTCTAAGCTGACAATTGTAAAAACAAAACTCCGCAGCACCATGACTCAAGAAAGACTTGACGCTTTAATGTTTCTATTCATAGAACAACAGATGACAACAAATATTAATTACGACGAAGTTAACGAGGAATTTAAAGTGATGATACCATCAAAACGACGTTTAGAATTATAATAATATATGTATATTAATTATTAAGACCATTTGTGATTATAAAAATATTTGTAAAAAGTATTAGGTACACATTAATTATATTTTAAAATACAATTTTATATTGCCTTGTTATTTTATTTATCTAATAAAAGGAATATTGTTTTTTATTCTGAAGTATTAGATAATAATTAATAATGATAAAGCTTATTAAGAAATTTGGAGGTCATATCCTTAAACCGAAACCAAATTTTTTTTAGGGGGTGGGGGTGCAGAAACCTACTTCCCCTGAATATGCCACTACTGTGCATGACCTGCGAACAAGGTCTGGACACGCCTATGATTCTGAGTACAGTATTCGGAATACTTTTTTCTTGTTTAGGTGTACTCTTATACATTACTAATTATTATACTTATTCATTATATTAATTTGAATATAATTTATGAGTTATGACTCTAATAGTTAACCAGATAGGTCGAGTGCATTATCGAGATTATAATAATGTTCATTTTATACACGGAATCGAAAAAATAATATTTTTGCTATTGAAATCTAAATCTAATTTAAAAAAGTATTCGAAAAATATTTAGAATACTTCTTGTGAAGTATTACTTAGAAATATTATTATCATAAAGTATTCGAATACATATTCTGGATACTTTTTTTTAAGTATTCGGAATAATATATGTATTTTAAATACCTACTTTTAAAAAGTATTTTACCCGAGTCTGGGTATATGTTAGCTAAAAATATAAATTTATTTATTCACCTCAAACAAGTAGAAACGTCCATACTCTGTTCAGCGAGAGAACACTCCGATTTAGAGCATCCGACACCCTACCATCGACACCGATTCCACTGTGGTAGGGTGTAGGGTGGGATGCGCAGCAGAACAGATTTTCGAGGGGTCCAGGTGTGTTCTCTCGCTGGACAAAGTACCTGTGCATAATATATTATACATTATTTGTCCTTTTGGTTATTTGGAATTCAATATTACAATTAAAAATATCTTAATTTTTTTTTTTTCGGAATTAATGGTTCCGGTTTGAACTACTTGAGAGGAGCCTTTATTCGATTTTCAAAAGCTATACCTATATAAATTGAACATATTATATATTTTTGACTACGAAATAATTTGCGAATTCCGTGACTTTGATATTCTGCCTTTATATACAAATTTGAATGTGCATTTTCTTTTTTTTTAATTGGTATACGAGATACGTATTGTTATGTATTACCTTTAAGGCTCTAAAGTACTTAGTAGATCCAATTTTCTAATCATAAATCAAGCTCAAAGTGGAAAATCAAAGCATTTTTTCTGCTATAAATCGTGTACACAAACACAAGAAAACATACACCATTATAAAATAATACTAGTCATGGACAAGTACATATTCGTTAGATAAAATCTTACAAATTAACATAATTAAATGCAAATTGTGAAATGAAATACAATAGGAATTTAAGGTACCTGTATAATTCTTTATTGTTATAAAAATAATAATTAAATAATTACAATTTTGACTAAAACTAAAATAAATTTAACTGCACATTAATGATTAGTGTATTGCAGATAATCTATTATAAATGATTTAAAATAAACATTTACGAAAACACGGAATCATGGATTTACTTATTCTGTATATATAAAAAAAAAGTATTTAGACATAATTCCTTAAAAAAACTAGGAACAATCTTATTTTACGCATAAAAAATCTAATATTTAATATAATTATTATCGTGTATAAAATATTAAATTTTATATTGCCAAAATAAATATCACAAAGCGTGTCACAGTTTTATAGTAACGCATTTAGTATAATATTATTAAAATAATAATAAACTGAAAAATATCCTATAAATAATAATAATAAATTGTACGTGTCAAAAAAATATACCTTATATAATATTATATTATATAATGCAAAACTTGTTGTATATCACTCAGTATTCTGAACTATATAATATTAAACTTAAACAAACGTTTAGGATGTCGATTTTACCAAGATCATAAAATTATTAAAAAAATATCGATGGATAATTTTTAAATATTTTTATCGTTAAATGTCAGTGAAATCGACCGGATTAGTTCCAATAATAACCTAATGCCAAACACAATAATATACTTGTGTAAATTAGTAAAATTGTTCGTCTCAAAAACGGATCGCTGAGCTCGTTTTACTGTCCACAAACGAGGCACGCCTTGTGGCGGTCAATTCGATATTTAAAAAATAGAAACTCACTTAAAAATTATTATTATTATCGTTTGGCAATAGTGTAATAGTGTGTACATGTAGTAATATTATAATATTATGTTTTATCAATAATAATAACAATAATGATTTAGTTAATTATTATATATAATCATTACCACTTGGTTCACGGCAACAGCCTCGGGTTAAACCTACCCAGGTAGATGATCATACCTGTGGGGTTGTGCCTGACCAGGTAGAGGAACGGCCTGTCGAACCTGAGCCTCGGCACGTCCGGGAGCCTCGCCTGTCTGGGCCGCAGGTTGAGCGGCAAATGCGAGTACGGGCTGTGCAGCGGCAGGTCTTCGGCGTTGCGCCTCCGGCGACCACCGTCGTGGCCGCTCTCGTCGTCGCTCCCGTGGCCGTCGTCGTCGTGGCCACTCGGGCCGCTCTCGTGGCCACCGTCTCGGCCGGCACGGCCCATCCGCTGAGGCGACGCCGGGTACGTCTCCACGTGGTGTCGGGCGCCGATGGTGTCCTCGCCGCACGTGCTGAACGTGTTCACCTGCAGCATGTCGGACAGGTACAGGTCGTACAGCCCGTTGACGCCGCGCAGGTCGGCCTTCTGGTCGCTGAACACGTCCCGCAGGCCCATCTTCTGCAGGGCGGCCGTGGCGTTCAGCACGGATCGGTGCGAGAACCTGGGCACTTGCAGCTCGAGCCCCGGTCGGGGCAACAGGCTCCGGAGCACCCGAGACCAACCGCCCCGCCGGTACGACGTCTCGATCAGCCGCTGCTCCAACCGGGCCAGGCCGTCGCCCGGGGCCACCTGCCCCTGTTGGCCCGGCAGCACCAGTATGGTCGACACCGCCGAGTCCGGGCCCAGGCACACGGCCGTTGCGTCCAGCCCTGGTTCGTAGCCGGCCAGGAATCCGCCGCGCCACACGGCCGCGGGCACTGGCACCAGGCGCCGTTGTCTAGTGGACGGCCTCACCACGAAGTACATTTCGCCGTCCCTGCCCTCGGTGGACGCGCTCTCGCAGCTCGTCTGTAACACAAACGGGTTATATGAGTTTATAACGTGTAAATGTACTTCTTATATGTTACTGTTATGACGATAACACGTGACGCATAACACGTGTTCAAGTATTCCAGTTGCCTGAAGGGAAAAATTTTTGCAATCGTGTGATTTTTGTTTGTTGTGTTTTTTTTTCGTGTAGTACAAATAATGGTATTACCTTATGATTCAATTTACTTATACTATGTTAAAAAAAATTATATACTATTTGGAGTTCAAATATTATACTGGCAATCGCATGGGAGATAATTGTTATCGTAAGAATGTCATACCCACAGGACGTATTGTCCCCATCTTAGTAACGCATAAAATAACAACGTCAGAATAATCCATTTTACTCTATTGATTTTAACATTAGAGTGAATTTACCTATTCTAAAATTTTAAATTTAGAATTATTATCCAGGGTTACATGTAATTTTTTTAAATGTCTTAATTTTGAATTTTACAGTTTTCAGTTTAAATGTATAACAAGTTAATTTAAAAAGCGGAGTGAGATAACGATAATAATACCCATTGCATTATTATAGGATAAGGTTCATTGTTTTCGTGTCAACCAATGCCTTAAATTATATTTATTTTACTTATAGGTAATATTATATTTTACTAAATAAACTTATACAAAAGTTCATTTAATTTTTTTAATTTAGTCTGTGTGCTATGTTTAATTATTTTTCAGAATTAATCGACCATTTAAATCCCAGATATTTTTAATTGGCTCTGGTCGACAGAAGACCTTAGCGACAGCCCTATGCAGTGGTTTCCTATGAAATGACAATTATGATGGAACTCAATTCAGCTCTTCACCTTATCACGAATAATTACGTATTTTTTTTAAATAAGCCCATATCAAACCCAGATTGCTAATGGTTTAATTAGAATACCAAAAATACGTGTTTAAAGACTTTTTATCAGTTTGTCTATAACTGTGATACATCATTAATTAAAATATGTTTACCTGGAATACGTTAGCACTGAATGCGGCAAATGGTGGTGTCAAACTCAACCCAGAACCACGAAGATATTCCACAACACGACCCAAAGTTTGTCTTTTGACTAATAAATTCGTTCGTCTCCTTAAAACGTCTCCTATCGTATTGAAGTCTACTTCTTCTACGTGTCCATCGTAATACTGCTGTACTCGCTCTTTATAGAATTCTAGTATTTTTCCATTTCCCTAAAAATAAAATGACAAAATGTGAACAACGATAGCATGTTTGTGCGATCACACCTTATTTATTTCGGAGGTAAAAATAATGTGGATTCTATTAAACCTAAGTACGGAAGTGGATATTAAAAAAACAAAAAAGTGTAAAAATATTGTTCATGGTAATAAATTTTACCTTATGGCTGTAGATTTCCCGGACGAAAGACGCTGTGGCCACACCTGGATTGTTGATGTTGGTTATTGAGTGCGTTATGTTCCTGAGCACTTGGTGAGGATTGAATGTGACCATGTCATCAAGCCTGAGCACGTCGTTCATTTGACCGGAAGTAGAACCACGGGCACCTAGGAATACCATGGCCAGCATAGCAGTCAGCTCGAACGGAGACAGCACCAGACTTCTGGAGGCTATCTGACCTTTACCGGTAACGGCTGTCCACATCTTGAATGACAACTCGTTACAAAGGTCAGCAAATCGGCGCACATCATCGCCCAAAAACGCTACACTGGCTTCCATGCCCATGCTCTCGTGTGGCGCAGGATGCAGTTCAACTGTGGACGGAGACGCGCTGTTGGCCATCTGTGGTCTATAAGCGTTGGACGACGGTCCAGGAGATTTTACTGCAGGTGGCAGAGTGACCGTGGCTGGTGTGGACAAAGTGGTGTAGTTTGTCGCGGCCACCGTAGAGATTTCGGATATTTCCGTCATCAAGTTTTTGACTTCAGATTCTACCACTTTGACTGCTGTTGCTGCTGTAGCTGCTGTTGCTGCTGTAGCCGCTGTTGCTGCTGTAGCTGCTGTTGCTGCTGTAGCTGCTGTTGCTGCTGTAGCCGCTGTTGCTGCTGTTGCTGCTGTAGCTGCTGTTGCCGCTGTAGCCGCTGTTGCCGCTGTAGCCGCTGTTGCTGCTGTAGCTGCTGTTGCCGCTGTAGCTGCTGTTGCTGCTGTAGCTGCTGTTGCTGCTGTAGCTGGTGTTGCTGCTGTAACTGCTGTTGTTTTTTTTCTTATCGCAGCTTTCATTGATGGCGTCAGTGATGGCAGTATCACGGTGGTCGATGTGGACGGCATGGTTGCAGTTGACATTGTTACCTCCCTCGTCACCGGTGCGATATAAGGGGTGAACGTTGTGGTTACTGGTTCTTCGTTGCCGGTCTCCTGATTGGTAACAGCGTCACGGTTTTCAAATGGCGTGGTGGTGTCGAAAAACACTTGCGTTTCCGATGATAAATCGTCCAGTTTGGCCACTTGCCCGGGACCACCAGTGGAACTGACATTGAACACAGTCAACATTTCCAAGCCAGGTTCTGAATTTCGCAACACCTCCTCTGTGTCGTTGGTGGTCACCGATTCTGCAGCGATCGTGTCGTTCGGCTCCAGGAACTTTGTAACCAACTCCGCTGAATTCGTAGTGAAGTCGTAAAAGTCCTGAGTGGCCGCATTCTCGGACACGGCAAATGTGGTGGTCTCGTCATACTCCGACTTAACCGTCGCTTGTTTTCGGCTGGATTCTTCAGTGGATGATTGTTTTCCCTCAACCGAAGACAATTTCTCGTAGGGGCGCCCCCCAATTTCTTGGTACTCTGTTTCAAGAACCGTCGCCACCGCCGGCTTTTGTGTATTTTGCAACATGCTAGCCACGGCATTTATACCGTCTTTAAGCATCAGGTCCACGCCAGGCGCACTATTGTTATTTTCGGTTTCTGGTCTGTCTTTCAATTGTAATTCCGGAAGGAAATGTGTGACCGGAACGTACTGAGTTTCCGATTCTGGGGTTGTAAACGTAACCTCGGTTGCATTAGTGGCCGTGGTCCTAGCCGCCGTACTGGAAGCTATCGAACCTACTGCTGCACTAGTCGCTGTCTGTGCTATCGGTGTACCTGTTGTTATCTGAGCAGCCGTCATACCGACCGTCGTCGCACTCGCTGCACTCGTTGAAGCCGCAGTCGTCGTCACTATAGTGACATCTGTATCTGCAGCTTCCACAGCGGTTTTTACTGCTTCCATTACTTTTGCCGTTGTAGTTTCCAATTTCGTAACTGCCGCTGTTTCTGTTGTGGTTGATGTTGTTGTAGTTGGTGTTGTTGTAGTCGGCGTTGTTGTAGTTGTTGTTGTCGTTGTTGTTGTCACTAAATCTCCAACTGACGACGAGATCATTGATACCGGAATTCCAGTTATAGTATTTACCACCGATGGTGTTGAAGTCGACATGGAGGCAGTTAGCGTTTGTTGAGCGCTAACAGTAGTTGGGGATACGGTACTAGTAGAGACGCTGGAAGCTGTTGACGATTTAGTCATAAAAGATGATATTAAATCTCTTATGACGTTAGCGTCTGTAACAGAGTTCAGTGGCTGACTGTTGCTAGAAAAGAACGATTTTTCGGTACTCATGTATGGAGTAGTCGAGGGATATGCGGTTGGATGTTGAGCGGTCATTGGCCATTCTTCTACTTTCACTGATACGTATTTATCGGGTTCTGTTTGACTACGAACTGTTGTTGTAGATGAACCATATCCGAAATTTGGAATAGCCGTAGTTTTTAATTCTTGTATGCGATTCGAAAGAGTGACATTGGTTCGATTTATTCCATTTGGTCGATTTGAAGTGACTTTAGTCTGGAAAACTTTAACAGGCTCTTTGACGAATTTATTCTTCGTATCTTCGGTGGAATTCCAAAATGTATCTATTGGTTGTTTCACACTAAGTGTTGCATTATTTATCGTTTTGTTAACAACTTTTACAAAACTGTCAATTAATTTATTTGGGTAAGCTTGAGTGGTTTGTGTAATTTTTTGCATATATTTAGTTGACATGTTACTCGGCGGGTAATGGTAGTTATTTCTAGTAGTAGAAACAGTAGTCGCATTGAATTTATTAAATGATGATGGCTTTGTCATATAAGAGGCTGTCGTAGCATTAGCATATGGTCGAGGTTTAGTCACATTAGACTTGGGCGGTGCAAATCGTGTTGCTGTGATGGTAGGGGTGGTCTTTTGCGAAAATGGCTTATCAGTAGTTGAAGTTTTATACGTCATTGTAATTGGAGGTTTTCTAGCTGATGTCAAAGCTTCGGTAACTGGTTTAAATGCACCACCAGTGCTCAATGACATTGCTATTGGACTGTAGTAGCTTAATTCTGGTGAACTCTCTTCTGGTACATAATCTGCTGTACTATCTTTTTCTACTAAATCATTAGTCTGTAAAGGTTTGTGGTTGGACGATTGACTGTCGGTCACTTGCGACAGCATATCTGATATAGAAGCTGACATTTCTTTATTTATCTCAAGACTATCTGCCATAATAGATGGTTTAACAGTTGAATGCAACATTAAAATTGGTTTTTGTAGTGCTGGCTTTTGTTTCTCAAATGACTGTATTGGCCTAAATGGTTTTTTAGTCGTTGATGGTTTAAATGTTGTCCACTGTGTTGTTGACTGTGTCGGTGACTGTGTTGTTGAATGTGTTGTTGATTGTGTTGGAGTGAATTTTGTTGTTACTTCGGGTTTGGCAGTGGAGTATTTCGGTGTTGACCTCACTTTTTCTGTTGTAGTGGCTACTTGCGTTTTTATAGATGACTGTGGCAATTTAAGTGTCGTCGATTGAGGTTGCATTGATACTAACGGTGCCTTAGTAGATGACAATGGTTTTTTAGTCAATGGAATGTTCATTGACTCAGTTGTTTTGGACGGAAGCAAGTATCCGGAAAGATGAGCTACGTCATCTGGAGTTTCAATTAGTCCTGGGAATAAGGCTGACCACGCGGACGCTGAATCTGGGCGATGTAAAGATGTGCTCGACATGGAAGGAATGGGTTTGCCTGAGTTAGCAGCCATTTCATTTTTCAGTACATTTTGTACACTTTCTAGAACTTTGTGAACTGCTGGTGCATCTAGCGATTCGAGATCTGAAGCGGGTAAGTGCATAAGTGCTTCTGATGAATGACTTGATAGTGCATCATGATAATATGTAGGGGAAGCGTCAGCCATCACTGATTCTGGATCTGCTCCAGCAATTAAACCATGTATTTCATCCAGTGTCATTAGCCGTTTAACTAAATCTCCCGTTTCGTCAAACGTATAAAACTCATAGCGGTCTGGTGATAGTAAATTACCAGGACTACCGATTATCGTATCCGTAGGTTTATGTATGTTTTTACTTTGTCCATCAGCAAAATATGTTTTGGTGCCATTTCCATGATCCATTATCACAGATACCGATGTTACCACACTAAGTTAAAAAAAAAGACATGAATTACTGATTATATAATTTTAAATTTTTATTTAACATACCTTGAACCAAGAACTCTTCTCGAATCTTCGGAATCTGTTTCCGATTGAGACGCAACCCTGGAAGGAACACATTGCGCTGCCGAGAGCAAGCACAGGGTCACCAGCCACCGGGTGTTGGTACCCGCCATGTCTGAATATTACATTAGTTTTGAAAACCTAAAAAAAAATATCATATTTATTTATTATTGCATTAAAAATATTAATATCAAATTATTTGGTAAACCATGCATGATAATTTAATGTTGCAAAGTAAATAATATTAAATAATATTTCTTAGATATTTTTCTAACAAGATCTAAAATTTTAACTGTAAAAACAAACTGGTACGAATCATCGCTAAATAGTAAATTATATACTATACTTGTATGCTATTAACTGTTTTAGATAGGTTGCATGAACCAGAGCGTGAAAACGACTGTGAATGTAAATGTTTTATAACACGTTGACAATTTAGACTCTAAAAAATATATATTTTTTAAACCTTATAAATAGTTAAATGTACCTATATACTCGTATAAACTAGATACAATACTATAAATATATTAGTAGGCAGGAGTAGGGAGAATAAGCTTATTTGATTGAAATTGATTAACTGTTAGCAGTAGGTACTTAACACAGATAGTAAACGTAACTTGTTTTTTTTTTAACATTATTAAATAAAATAAATTATTTAAAACACTTATTCAGTATTTGTAAAGATCTAGGCGCACAAAAATAAGTATAATTTGTAATAGAGATTTAAAAAAACAAAATGTTTTATTCTTTGATGTGGGATTGGATTTGTTCAATTACCACTATTAGTCGTTACTCATTTTGTAGGTACTAAGTAGTCTTCCATTAATTATATTAGTGATTTTGGTCTGCCGAACGCATAATCTGTGCCGCCAAAGAATAATAATTGACTGTAGTTTTTACATTTTTGTACCATGAGTGTTTGACGATGACAACGTTCAGTCAACGACTTGTGTCGTTTCTTATTTCCAAGAGGATAATGGACATAAGATATTATTATTTCCATGACATATCGTCCTTGTGCCAATGTTAAACCGAGACGAACGTTGGCTCGTCCGCGGAGGACACATAACAACAAAAATAATAATAATAATGATTTATATTATTATCGCTTTGAGAATGTTTTCAAACGGTTTTTTTTTTTTCAATATTTTTCATTTTCAATTTTTATTGTGCGAAATATTTGCCCATCGCGATTATCCTTCGACAACACTAGACTCCGTCGACTTGCACGGGCAATTTTCTCCTCGAACTGGGTTAATATGTTACCGTAGCTTTTAGGCCTTTTCCAAATTCGCGTCAATGAAATCCACGAAAATCATCGAAATAATATTGTAAACATATCAGGCAAAAACGATACAATATGTAATAATATATAATGCGTGACGAATCAAAAATGAAATTTTTCCATAATGCTTTTAATTCATATTTGAATTTATTTTTTCGAAGGTTTTCTTCGTTCATATAGTGCCTTCTTAACCACATCAAGTACCTATATACCTAACGTATGTCTGTTTGAATGCGAATCGATTGACGAAAATATCTGCGTGTACTCGTGCGATTAACGAATTCAATGGAATATAATATTGCCCAATTGGTTTACGAAAAATAAAATTTGATTCGTGTTCAATTATATCAACATGCATATAGGTAATTCGCGTAAGCCAACGATATTACAATTGTTTTCCGTTTGATTTCCACGGATCGATGTTTATGTCATGTTAATTGATTTTTTGTCAACCACACACACGGTCAGAGTAACCATTATTTATAAAAAAAAAACTGTAACAATCGATTATTCGTATAAAGAAAATTAGGTAATAAGGAAAATGTAACAAAAAAAATATGTCATAAAAAAAAATAGGTTATAAAAAATCAAATCAGTCAAATTATAAATATATTTTAAAATGTCTACTATACGTTTCACATTAAAATATCGATATTTTAACTTTTAAGATGTAAGTATAATATTCTTTGCTATAATAATGTTACATAAATTTTATAACTATTTAGTCAAGCAGTAATATGCATTTGTTTCGATTTAATTAATTTGAATTTGAAACGTATAATTAACTAAATAGTTCCATTAAAATGTATAAGACATCATAATATCACTCTATAAACTTAATAGAATTTCGTAAAATATAAATGTAATTAAGTCGAGGAAACTATAAGAATATATACAACAAGTAGGTATCCAATCTATACGAATCACGTACCTATGTATCAGAAAATAATCTGAAAACTTCAAAATGTAATAAGCCCAACATAAAAATCTCGTAGTTCATTTCACATTTGACAATAATATCATTCACCATATTATTAGGTATTAAAAAAAAAAAAAAAAAAACGAGTGTAATAATGATTCTATTTTATGGGTCAGTGATCTCGAGATGAGGTGTTGAGAAGACAAACATTTTAAATAAACTCCTGCCAAAAACAAACATTCGACGAAAAGTAACGTTAAGTACATATTGCCTGTATTAGAGATACCGTTCATTAAATACTTACATTCTTGTCTAACAGTTAACGGTTATCGACGTCGCGTCGTTTAACCGGTCCTCGGAGGGCTACAACAGCTGATACTCGTTTAAATCGTCATTACTAAAAATAAGAACTATTATTGAATTATGCAAAACAGTAAACACTATAATATTACCGATCGTTCTGTAAGAAAAAATAAAAAATATGTACGTAAATGTGTAATTTCACATATTAACTACATCTACGAGAGTTAGAAAATATACTATGCCCGCTCACTGCTTATAGTGTTGTAATAATTACGACACTAAGCGGGTAATTTTATAAAAAAAAAAAAAGTATAAACAATTATTAAAATAAATATTTGAACCGTTATTTTTATATATACGTTCAAAACTATGATGGAAGTAATATTTTATTCTGTTTTTTTACTTGATTTGCTGGGTAGTGTATGATAAAATATCATATTAGATTATTAATTATATTCACAAGTTTTTGAGTTAAAACTAACAGGACTTGTGCGAATGAATACTGCGTAGAGTGTGTGATATTATTGCAATAAAAACACTACGATTTCGTTAATCTGGATTCTGGACAGCGTCACACGACAAGACTTTAAAACGTCTTTATTTCAGTGAACCTATTATGAATATAAATTACCAACAATTGCGAAGCCTCATGTTTACTCCTGCACAGTCCAATAATTCCTGTCTTAAAAAAACATATAACTCGTTTGAAGTAATTGGAAATGTGTTTGTTAATTTAAAGTTTAGAAAGACTGTCAATCGCCATAGACGTTGTACCAGAGAATAAATATTTGGAAACATTGAGTCAAAACAGTCCGATACGTCTACAAACTCGATCAAGAAAATACCAGACGGAAACTACTTTGGGAGTTATTCAACCGATTAGTTTGTCCCGTACTCTCATCCGTATCCGCCGCGGACTATATGACTGAATCGATAGGACCGCAGCCTGAGGTCATCTGGCTGTGTAGCTATACCAGATAATAAGTACCAATTATAAACATTATTTCGGTAATACCCTATGTAATACGAAGCCTAGGTAAAAAAATCAATGTAAAATAATAAAAGACAAACATACAAATACCGTTCAAAGAAAATATTATTAAATTGTCAATAACAACAATGCTTTGAAAATAATAAAAAAAAAAAAATAATAACAATAGGTTATTCAAATTTAACTATAAATAAAAGTTTATATAATAAATAATTTTGTCAGAGTAAGTGCTTTTAAGATTAGTAATTTTTGTCATAGTTTAATCTTCACTCATAATTCATAAGTCATAACTAGTCGTAACTATATTATAATAATATAATTAAAATGTGGATACATATTTTTCCAGCACAAGCTATGTCTATAGGAGAGTTGCAAATCTTTGTACTTTATATTATACTTAAACTGCACATGATTCATGATTTGCAAAAATTAATTATTATAAATTATTATTATTATTATATTAGATTTCATATTTTTATTCATAAATTACAGTTATTGTTTTTCATAAATATAAAATATTAATTTTAAAAACACCTAATAATTTCAAGTTGTACAATGTAGTTTTGTTGTTTGACTAAATTATTAATCAACGATCCAAGGTTTAGTTAAAAGTTAAAATCAAATATTGTTGTTTTTGATATGAGTATAATACTTTTGGAACTATAACGACTATGTATATAACCGTATAGGTAACAACATTTGCATGACGTATATTTGACGAAACTACACAATTCAATTTTGTGAGGGTAAATAATGATAATCCTAGTGTGAATATAGGACACACCCGTTGTAACGCACTTATTTCTCATCAACAAAGAACTGAAATAACTTACTTGTGACATGCAAAGAACAAAAGCCCAAATATATAGTTATAAACTGTCCCAAATACACTACAATATCCTCAACAATCATCTTCAGTAAAACAAGTATGTGATGAAGAATATCTCGAAGCAATTTATAAAAAAAAACACAAAATAAACTTTAGTCAAAAATTGTAAAACTACCTATAAAATCTATTAAATTATTATTAGCCTTGAGATATTATAATTTATAACCTTTTATTCGGCTTTAATTAAAATTTGACTTATAAACTTTTTCGCTATAGTATTAAGCCTTAAAAAATAAAAACAAATATTATTGTGATAAATACCAACATCGTAAACTTGCAGCTTTTATTTTAATATTATAAAATTAATATATAAACATTTTTTTATGGTTGGGTTTGAATTTTTTATAATATGCTTTTATCAGTTACCACTATTTATAGGTGTAGTTACTATACTCACAACTTAAGGACTAACCATGAATATGAAATTGAATAAAATTAAAAAAAAAAAAAATGTTACTTTTGTATTTTTAGTTATTTTTACAAACAATACAGTATAAAGACACCCACACTATTTTATAATGAGAGTACTGAGATCAGTTTAGTAGCTGCTTCTATAACTATATGCACAGAGTAATACAACTTCCCTATAGGAATGGGAGAGAAAAATTTCGTCCGCGGCGGTTTCAAATCGATATCAAACAGCGTATTTCGATCGTCTTCGAGGCGATTAACGATTAAGACCAGTAGCAGATCATTGACGGACAATGACGGCTGGCATAATTCTGC